ATACAATGACCAAGTCTTGTGAGTATACATCAGATTATTAATATGCTTAGTGAATCAAGTTGAATATATTTTTGAAGATTGTAAGATCAAATTTCAATGTCAAATCTAGATAATCAAATCAACATTTGGATAAGAAACATCAGGTTTATTACAAACAAATAATTTTGCCAATACTATGTGAAGATATTACTTGTGTATTGCATAAATACATGATTTATCTAAAAATAATTGAAAGTGTGCTCAATTACACTTTCTCATCATATTTGAAATTTAATTTTTAATCAAATAATTTAATATTTCTAAGTTTTGAAAAAAATTGAGAATTCAAATTGAAATCTTATACATGTAATTATTATATTGAACAAAGTAACATAAATCATTATTTTTTGAAAATTTCAATTAAAAAAAATGTTTCATATATAATTTATGAATAAAAATTTAAACATTCTAAACATTTATCTTTCAATAACTTTTATCATTTTTGTATTACAAAAAGTCACTTAATGTGACAAACTTATAGATCAATGGATGTTGATTCAAACATAGATGAATTAGTTTTACCACATTAGTAATATTCAAACAAGAATTTTTTTTGGCTAAATTTCAACTATCCATATAAACTTCAAATATTTATAATGACAAAAGATAAACAACGCACTCCAAATGCATACCAACACAGTCAGATACGTGATTCACTCAATCTTGAATTTCTTCCATGGGGATAAGCAATCCTTTACTCCAAAGGTTTTACAAGTGTGTTTTATTGTTATGTCTAGATTTGTCTTGCCCTATTGTATTCATACTTGAGTCTATAGTTTCAAATTAATTATTTTCCAACCCCAAACTCAAAATTCTTAGTTGTATCTAACCTTAAATAGAGTGACACTTAACTTTGGTACGACTCTAGTTTTGAGATACTCCTAACAATATTGACTATCAATAATGTTTTAGTTCCAAATTAAATTCAAATGACATTTAAAAAAATCTTATCATCAATGAATTTTTAACTAAATCATTGGTACTTATATATTCGTGATTACATGAATAATAAATGAATTGATATATATATATATATATATATATATATATATTTTGACGTGTATTTAGTGTAAAAATAATAATTTTATTGCCAAAAACATCAGAGTTGCAAAGTTTGCAATAAATCACAAGAATCTACTTTCATGCAAAAGAAGAGTATTATATATTGCAGTTGATTTCATGCAAGATGAGACTATATTTGTTGTTAAACTGTTAAGTTTTAATGGAAAAACAGGTTTATAAATCTATGTTACACTAATTTTTTTGTAAATTAATATGTGAATTATGAGTATTTAATTACAATCAAATGCAGTTTGATTGGATATCTTTTATGTGACATACTCTAGAACATTTGATTATTTTTTTTAATGAATTAGAAACAATTAAAATGTTAAATTTTCCAATAGATTTTAATATCTATTTAGTTATGTATTATAAATGATCATTCTTAAATATTTAGAAAGTACAATAGTTTTTATTTTTATCTTTTATAACAAGGATTGGAAAAAAGTCAACTTTATTAAAAAATTCAATAAAATATATTTTCTTCTTTATGATTTCATAAAAAGTTTACATATCATGTGATTTTTTGAGATAATTGATACTAAATCAAAGAAAAGATTGATAATTTTTATCAAATCTAATAAAAATCTACAACTTTGAAATAATGCTGAGTCTTTATAGGATAAGATAAAATTCATATAAACATCATTATCAATCAGATCACAACAAATAACAGTATTAGTGATTGTTTGTTTTTATATAGCACAAGTATTGCGAATTGCAATAAATAAAGGTATTTTTTAAATATGACTTTTTAATAGTTATGGAAAAAAAATTACCCATACTCAATGAAATATTTTGGCTATTATTTCACAAACTTGTAGAAGAACACCATCATAGCTTGGTACAAGTTTTAAATCATAAGTTAAATTTTTTTTGGATATTTTTTTCCTTTAAATATCTAGATTTTTGGATAATATATTTTTTTTCAAAACAATATTATGAAATTAGTGCTAAAATGTTGAGAAATACTCAAATAAAAACTACCATATTAAATTTTTTGAATTTTGACATATGAAATTTAGTGAACACTTATATTCTTCAAAATTCATTTAAAAAAATTCTATATGCATACTCATTATATTATATAGTCTTGAATTTATCCAGATATTTCATTGATTTTCATATTATAATTTATTTTTTCATTTATTGTAAAAAGGTAATATGTTTTCACAACAAGCATGAAATTTTTTTAACACTTTTTTCTTAAATCCAGCATATTTTTTTCCATCTTTTAGTGCTTATTATTTTTGTGGTTTTATGATTTAAAAACTTTGAATTTAACTTTAATTTATAAAAAAAAATCAACAATATGTCTTTTTTGTCATATTTAGATTTTTTAAGTCAATCATATTCTGATTCGATTTTTGATTTCATAAACATGTAAAAATCATTTTGAAAACATTAATCTAATGAAATTGAAGCTGAAAACCCTAATTTAATGCATATTTAGATTTTTGATTAATTTGAAATAAATGAAAACTATTCAAATATACAAATCCACAATGTTTGCATTAGTGAAAACCTAACATTTCAATTGATTTAAAGTCTTTTTTTGCTTTTTATTATTATCATTGAATGCATTTGTTATTATTCAATGTCTCAAATTTTGTTCAAAATCATAGTGAAAATTTATTATTGATCAATGTAATAAAATATAATACTTTCATATCCAAACATACATATTGAATAACATTATATCAACACAGTATTAAAAGTTTGCTTCATTTTTCAATATTAAAATATCAAGAGTTTTAGAGAAAAAAAATTTTAACAAAATAATAAATGATGATGATTTTACACCGTTATTTAAAGAGCAAAACTTAATTGCTTCCTGCAAACTATATTAAATAAATTTTGCAGTAAGCAAATTGGAAACTTGGAATAAGATGACAATGGGCAGAGATATATCACGCATTTTCAAAGAAGATATTTACTTGATGGGACCCGTCAAAACGTAAATTGCTTGATGGTACCCATCAAGTTTCAATTTACACTATGGTATTCTACCGAAGACACAAAGTTGATGAGTTCTAATAAACGTTCTAGTACAAATATGTTCTAATTCATGTTTCTGCGATCTCTTCGATGGCGTGCCGGTGGAGTTTAACAAAACTGGATATGCTATCGCTTGCAAAATTTCTCAATCGAATTTATTGAAACTTTTGGACATTAAGGGTTGCACGCGAGTGCAACCCTTAAATCTGCATAAGGACACTGAATCGGAGAAATCACTTTTGAATCTAGAAACAGTGAGAGACAGTGACATGCCACTAGCAGTACACCTTCCACCTCCAGTAACCGAGTGAATCTTTCATCAAATCATCAAATTTGTGCTCCAGCAAATCTACAGCACCAGACTACCACAATGAAACTTTTTGCACTCATGAATTTCTGTGGACAAATTCATCTTTGAAACAACGATGTGTTCTTAAGTAGACGATTTGACGGAAGGGTCCATGTCACCGTCAAATCATGTGACGTGTACTGTTCCATGGGGTCCCATCAGGTAAATTGAAACTTGATGCATCACTTAAAACAATTTACGTTTTTATGGGATCACATCAAACAAATCTCTCATTTTCAAAGGGACCGAAGGTGATGTTCCCATCCAACACACCGGATTCTCGGAAGAGTGACACACGAACCTCTGAATCCTTCTTCCGATAGCATGCGCACTAATCTCACATATAAAGACGCACCCGGTTCCTCATCCACTCTACTTTTCCCGTAAGAGGAGAAGACTGTGTGGTCGATCTTCTACGTCGTAATCTCATGGTTGTCAACGTTGAGAAGTGGAAAAGTTGTCCGCATGGGCCCCGCAAGCAAGCGATGGTTTTATCTTCTCTGGTGGAGACGAAGTGAGATTCTGCGGGCAAATCCGTTACGGACACAGTGGGAATCCCAACGGATACAAACCCCCCCCAGCACATAAAAAGCAAAAGTGACGGACGACCGACGACAACGTACTGTCCGGGAGGGGGAGGCACAGGCACACTCACACTGACGGAGCCGCTAAAGTTGGTGGCATAGCTGGCAACGAAGTCCAAGCGTTGGAAACGAGGCGCTGTTCCTCATGCCTACCTATCAGTTTCCCGGTAACCGCTAACGCCCGGCAGCTCTGATAGCGTGTTCCTCCGCTTCAACGAATACGAACAGAAGCGTCCTGAATATCAATCACATCGATTCATTTATTGATCTTCACAACTTTCGGGCATGAATCAATTATAGTAAACGCTGGGAGCAAGACTTTGGGGTCCGAAAACCGCGTGATAACTGAGGAACTTCAGCAGCACTGGAAGGCCATCAGTCGGCACATTCAGCCAGAAGTTTTACGTGAGTGTTAGCCGCGAATCACAAGTACGTACGTTCTTAGATTATGTGCACATGCTGTCAGCCTAGCTAAACTAGTAACATGTGACGATGTACTGATGGAAAAATTTGTATTTTCGCAACTGTATTATACGACAGAAGATTAAGCCTCTAATTTAGAAGTGTTAAATTATAGCTGAGAGTTTGACGCTGCGAGGATTATTTTCTCAGGTGAACGTGCAAATCTCTCTGGAGGCACCTGTCGCGTGAGCATTTTACATCAGGAGCAGAGACATGGCATACTGTAGTGCTGACGAGGTGCATTGTTTATAATTCGATGTTTGCAAGCGGTCACGGGGTCACACATAAAATCATCAGAAGGATGAAATGCCTGCGCGGTCTCTCGCCTTCGGGTCGATTACGCCCGGCGTTTACGTAGCTCTGTACTCTTGAGCGTCACGGCAGATGAAGTGGTATCTGGTTGGGTAACGACAAAGGTTGTCGGTCAGGGGAACGGAGGTGAACAGGTGGCGGCTGCGGATTGAGCGAGGGCGAGAGAACATTGCAATGCCTCGTGAGGAAGAATCAACCACAGCTGCTGCTGCTCCTGGTGGTGGTGGAGGTGGCAGGGCAGAGCAACAGAGGCCGAGAGCTTGCTAGAGGTGGGGGTCGATGCAGGGGACGACGACGACGAAGAAGAAGAAGGGAGAAGGACGGGGAGGCGGACGAGAAGGAGAAAAGACACGCCTGATTGGTTACTTTTCTTGAGCGACAAGCTTTACAGTTTGCGGAGTTTTGAGATCTGCAGGAAAAGATGAGCGGCTGGTCGGGACATATTCGCGTCACGATTGGCGCTTTGCTCGGTGGGCTTCTTGGATTCTATGTCATGCATCACGCCGAGGCCGCGTACAAGGTAGGGTGGGGTTGGGTTGGGTTGGGTTGGGTGGGCTTGCTGCGATCCTTCCGTCGGTAACTCGGACTTTCATTCCGCTTTGACTTCGTCCGATTGTAGTTTGGAGCGTTTTGAGTTTTGGTCTCGCCTTCGGTTTAGGAGCAGGGGGCACGTTACCGTGTGATCTGATCTGCGTTGAATTCGACGCATGTCTGTTCGGATTATCCGGGTGGATGGCCTTTCATTCCTTTTCCTATTTGCACTTGTGCACCCCTCTTGTCCTGGGCCTGGGGAGAAAATTCTTGGTTTCTTCAGGATTCACTGTGTTTTGGATAAACGCCCGAGTGGATTGCTCCCTGGCTCAGGGTAATGGTTGGCCTGTTCTTGGAGTTTAGGCACTGAATGCCCCAGTGTTCTCCGCTGGGCACATTCCGTTGCTTTGGTTGAAATGTTGTCACACGCTTGAGTTAGATGATACCGTCATGTTCCATTGAGGCCATACGGTACGCTTATCGGATTTACCATAACGATCCAGGCAATTCCTTTTCTGGTGTCGGCAATTTTAACACTGTGATTCTCCCTTGGATTTAAGCTCTTAGCTCGTATCTGCTCCTTGTCTTCTCGGTTGTTCAATCAACTCTCTGACCTTACTACAATCAGAGCGGTGAGGTACCCGTTTGTTAGATTTCAGATTTTGCCACACTGAGAAGTGGCAGATTCTGGAAAATTAGTTAAACTCGATTCGTCAGAGCTTGAGGTTGTGAAATCATATCGTCAGTAGGCTCAAGGGAACAATTTTTATTGTTCCGGTTGGCCTCAGCCGCCGAATTTCTTCGGGGCTCTTGTACATTCACAGTACGAACTTGATAGTTGCGGAATCTGTTACTGCCCTTCTGTGCTGATTTGGTTTAGAAGTTGATCACCCTTTCTGGAAGTAATGTCTCTTCCCTGGAAGAGATCAAAGCCCTTTGCGTAGGGTTTTACGCGACTTATTTTGCTGATGGATCGACCTGGCTGGTGGAACAGGAGAAGATGAAAGAGGAGTACGTGAAGTTGAGGCAGGAGAAGCTTGCACAAGAATTGGAATTGGCGAAGAACAGTGGAGAGATTCTTCAAGATTCATGATTAGCGAGAGCTTAGGGCCTGTAGAGTCTTCATCGCACAGGGATCAGACATCGAGCGTAGAGTAGCGGTTCCCGAGCTCTTGTGGAGTGATCATAGCGGAGTGATATCCGAATTTAGGATTGGTCTTGGTCCTATGAAGTGAAAATGCTCCTACATTTTCAAGATTCAGCGAAGCTTAAAACACGAAATGTAATCGTCCACCTTTGAGAGTTTTATCATCGCATTTGTTTGAATAGATCCTAAGAAGCTCATCGAGTGCTTTTGAGTTTCTTATGCATTTTGACTTCTAGAGTTTCGATTGACATTTTGTAGTAAAAGCAGCGGCTGATGAATCTCCCAATGATATATCAGGTCGCTTTTGAAACTTCCTATTATGCCCGTGACTCTATTACTTTAAGTCAGCTAAGGGATTTGAGCAGCAAGCGGAGGGCGATCGAAGAGTCCATCAATGGAAGCAGCCATCTCACACCGGCAATTGCCCGGGAAATGGCCGGGGGAGTCACATCTCCAATTGCGCAGGTGCTTCCTACATTCAGAATCGTTCACGAAAGAAATATTATTGGGTACAATTAAAATCAAGTAAACGAATAAAATTTCAAAAGAATAACTCTTTACTTTATGGAATGCAGGATTTGCTTAAACTGGAGGGTTACCTGCCTCTTCTGGAGAACCTAATAGAATGTGTTCAAGCTGAGATAAATAATAAGCCTCAAGTGCGGCAATGGACCGTCGATCTTCGTTTTCGTTGGACCAGCCCTTTAAGTGGTTCAAGCGTCAATCCCTTATCCGGACCCAAGTATTATCGAGTTGATGATCTTCGTTATGAGCTGTGCATGGTTCTGAGCCTCTTCGGTGCTCTTTTGAGGGAGAGAGCACTGGAGATTCTGCCAGTAGGTATTATCTCTGAACTAAGTCGCATTGAACTTCACTTTCCAACAGTCTTCTTGGTACTTTTATCTGGTTACTTAGTTTTCAGGGCTTCGGGTCCAAGAAAGGTGGATCTGGTATTAGGTTAATGCCTGAATTTTGGCCTGGTTTGTGCTCCTGGTCGATTGGAGCGTTGCTAATGTTTGAACAAGAAACAAAATCAGCAGTTAAGTGAAGATTGAAACTTTGGCTAAGTCTTTAGCACTTGGGGGGCTTTTTTTGCAGATTTGATAAAGGCAGCACAGCTCTTTAGGCAGGCCGCTGGAGTGTATCAACATATGGCCGAGAAAGTTCTCCCGGATTTGCAACCGGTTCTCGCCATTAGTGCTGACAGGCCACCTGAGGCAACCGTAACGATGGCTACAATTATGAGTATCGTATGCCTAGCAGAAGCTCAGGTACTTTTAGATTTCAGCAAGGATGGATAATTAATTGCAGACTGACTTTTGGAGAGAGCGAGTGTCTCCTTTAGGATTCGTCTTGTTTGTGTGTTGTGTCTTGTATACAAATGTAACGAGCCTCAGGAAGTATAATGTCCTGTGTGCCAGGCGGTGACAGCTCGGAAAGCAGAAGAGAAGGGCACAAGTGGGAGTCTTCTCGCGAAGCTTCACTACGGGGTTGTACAGCTCTTGGATGAAGCTCTTAACATTCTGCGAGAAAGAGATTCTGAGTCAACGGATGTTTCTGAGAAGTTTCGGGTAAGTATGTGTATGAGGACCGTGCATGTCTAGTTCGGAGTTAGAGCAAGCATGCCCTTTGCTTTCCCCTTGTTTACCTACGTATGTTCCATGCTCTCCCATTTGTGTTGCAGTTTTCTTTCAGATGTGACCTTATTAGGATATCCAAAATTATCATAATATTGTGTTGTTTAATGCTTCGTCTTTATGTTGTTGCATTCTAAGTGGAAGTGTAGTCCGAAGTACGGACTGATGTCTCAGTTACTGTGATTCGACGGTCCAGAACCTTGTATTCAGTCTCTATTTCGAATTTATGACCATCAGTGTGTTCCATGGGTTTTATCTATAGAAGAGTCTAATCAGTTTGATGGATGGAACTATGGCATACACAGAGATTTCTGAACCTGAGCAAAGTACTTCACGAATCTCGTAGTCAACGCTATATAGCTGCAGACTTTCGCACCGAAGAAAAACTTGGCATGGCAGTTGGTGTCCTTCGTCATTCTATGAATCGTGTGCAGATGGTTAGACCTCCATGTAAGAAAGCTGCTCCTTATTGAGAAATTCAAACGATGACAACCTTGTTAGTGTGTATATTGTAGGCCATATACTTCTGCTATCATCGAGTGGCATCTCTACTTCGATATCATCCTTTGTGCATAATGTTAAATTAAGTGCATAATGACCTGTAATCCTTACCATAGATCAAGAAGTGGTTTTAGGATGTAGATTAGAGCAGGGGTTGTGGAAATTCGTCGCTTTTTCTTATGGAATGTCTGCCTTCTAGTTGGACTGAAATTTCTTTTGATGATCTCGTTTGGCACCTCACACTGACGGAGGGTTGTATTGTCAGAATACAAGACTGAACGTTAACTCTAACCGATTCGTGGTTGTCTGTGTTTATTTGTCTTGTAGATGAGGATGTTTGGAAGCCCGTATATAGACAGGAGATTGATGCATTAGGGCAAATGCTGCGAAAATGTGAGCAGGAGAATGAGTTCATCTGGAGAGATAAAGTTCCGCGAGTGGACGAGTTGCCTATTCTTGAAGGGAAAAAGCTCGTTATGGCCTCACCTTATCAAGCATTTGGGCTTGATCGTGATTTTGTGTTTGTTACATAACGCACGTCAGTGCTTCACTTTGTGCATTATCAAAAGTGGTTTTATTGATCAGTATCCTGTAATGAGGCATCGGGATTCCGAAGAACGATGAAGGTTGGACCGAGAAGAAGATCAGAGCATGGAATCAATTCACGTCATACTTCCATTCTCGGAACTTTAAGGCTACTTGTATTAAGACTTTGGATATCGTGGTTGTTTAACCACAGAACCTAGGTGGTCGCTACAGGAAGCGGGGGATATTCTAGAACTGAGTTTCCCTCCAGCGAATGAACGTTGTCAAAGGAAACTAAAAGCCACGCACGTTAGCTGTTCTCCGTCTCCACGGAGGGACGAAGTGGACAACTGTAACCACCTGGTGACGAGGATTTTGGAAGGATCGGGATGAGTGTGTAATGTGTGGGTGAATATACTCCCCAACAGCGGAAACCAAGACAAGTTTAGGACAAAAATAGGGACGACATTCTGAGTTTCACCGAGATAAATGAGGGGAGTCAGTTTCAAGGTGCTATAGAGAGTGGGTTAAAGGGAGATTACTGTAAGCTATTCATCTTTTTCTGTCAAGCCTAGCAGTGATTTGTCATACGAATGCTAGGTGTCACATTCATGACATTTTTTAAGATGGCAGAGTTCATCGCATTAGAGTCAATCTAGTGTCCCTGAGATTCATATATTTTCCAAATATCTGCAAGCTGAAGATTCCCCATGGGAAGCGTCTGGAAACAGGTGACACTGAAGATACTTCTGTACATCTGGATAGTAGGAAATGTATAGATCTGCGAACGCGAAAGTATTTGTGAGATTACCTTTGCTCGTTCAACAAAACTGTATGTGGTAGTCTTTTCGTTGGATACTCTGTGAGTAGTTGGTTGTGAAATCAAGCATCATGTCTTTTTTCAACTTCGCTTCTCAAAGAAACAGTACGACTTCAAAAGTGATGTTTAGATTTACAAAAGCCAACTGGCAATCACGAACTTTAATCAGCGGCAGACATCCAGTCAAAATTCGCCAATATGTTAACCAACTATGAAGACAAAGTCTTTGATGTACTGTCAGAAAAAGGATGTTCCATGGTCTCTCGGAACTGAGGAAAAGGTAAGCTGGATCCAGAGAGGTGTAGTAGAATGCAAAAAGAGTACTGTACGCGAACTTCTTTTACAGGTGGTCAGATGAATTATCTGATCCGCAGGACTGAACACCATTCCATGTCCTGTAAACAGGAGCAGGTGACAAGCATGCCACAGATAACGTGCTAGAAGCTAGATGAGAGTCTTGAAAAGAACACCTGAATATGTGCTGTGAGGTATTCCATTGGGAGGGAAGAATTGATATATAATGTTAGATTGTTCTTTTGACCCCGCAGGCAGGAGGAGAGAGCCCAGAGAAAGTAGAAAAGAGGTCTAACTCACCTACTCAAGGTTCTAGCGTCACAAAAATGCGCCTAGGCTTGGCATCTAGCAACCCGCGTTAAGAAACTTCACTTATGACGTTGTAAGAGATGAATGTCATGGGTGTACTTTCTTGGGTACTTGAAGATTTTCACATATATTGCTGCAACTTGAGTTCCATATAACTCCTAGTGTTTCCACGTGAAATATAATACCGGTTGATCTTAAGCGTCGAGGAAGTCATGCCGTCTAGCCTAAGAATTGTTCAGGTGTCTGGAGGTTATACAAGTTTAAGTCCTTTGTATGGAGGTTTACGAATCGAAGAAGTTCGACCTTTGACTCGTGTACAGGCCACGTATACAAGCACTTAGCTAGAGTGTGACAATGTTGTGTGTTATACCACATTTATGTATCGAGATACATATTTTCTGGGTAAATTTACAGGTGAATTGCTAAATGAGTTAACATTTCACTTAGGGGTCACCAACATGCTGAAGAAAAATTTTCATCTTGTGCTCTTCCTGTCGGGAAACACGAGATGGTCTTTAAACTAACTCAACACCTACTTCTAATCCAGTTAAAGAAGTCAGAACTGAACGTAAATATGGAAGCTAGAATTGATCACACGTGATGAATTGATTTCTAGCTACGTGCATTATAAATCTGTTTTATCAAAATCTTTCATTATTCACTTTTCATGTCAATGCTTTGGGCAGACCATTAGATCTGAGGTTTTGGAACAATTTTATTGTAAGATAATGACATCTAGCAAAAAAATAAAATTACCACACAAGGATGTACTTATCCCTATTACTTTGATAAAGAACTGCTCTCTATAAAAGTTATTCGACTTTTTGAAGTTCATGAAGTCACAAATCAGTTTCGAAGTGCTAGACCTAGCCACACCTCCAATTCAATGGCATCTTTTTCACTTTATCCATGCTGATATTAGGTAGCAATCTATGACAATTCTCTGTCAGGTGAAACTGTCATGATGGAGCTTCGAATCTTCTTCGCGTTAACGCGAAGAAAGTTTTCATGAATTTTAGCGCATAAATTATACCTGTCCTTGCAAATGAATCTTGTCAGGATCATTCCTCAAACCCTTATAGTAACATATTGACATACATTCCTTCCGCTAGGTAATAAAGTTTGTTGATTAAAATGGGATTTTCATTAAAGATAGAACGCGATTTTACTCTATTGCACTTGAAAGCAGATCCTATAAGTCCATAGTACGTAGTCTAATAAGAACAATGTTCATCCCGATTCGGTCATGTGCATAGTATGGAAGTGGTGTTAGTAGGTCTCACGTAAACATATTACGAAGTGTCATTGATTTGCAGTACCAAACATTAGATTTTAATCGTTTCTCACTTTATATGAACACTTTCAAGGCTTCAAATTTCATTTCTTAGTATCAATTATGGTGTTGGATTGAATGCAGCAGTGAAAATTTCAAAAAATATTGTATTATCACTGTCCTTTTACATTCAGCACTTCAAGTAGTGCGTTTAAACAGGGTTACAAGTTAATATAATGACTTTTTGTCATAAATGGCATCTGGTCGCGTAGCGCAGTGGATTAGCGCGTCAGACTTCGGATCTGAAGGTCGGGGGTTCGAATCCCCTCGTGATCGATGCTCAATTTGTCTTTCCATACTAATTCTATTTCTTAAAAAAATTTGTGATGAAAATATACCTCATGGTTATCATGTTAGCCTACCACTTGAGAAATGGAGGGAAAAGATTTATACAAAGATGTAAAAGTAGTGGGAAAAAGGAGAAAATTATTTGATGGTAAACTAAACCCTACAGAACACCAAACACTTGTACGAGAGTATAGGAAATCCAACTGCATTAAATTAGCATGGCCCCTGCGCAAGCATGACACCGAGAAATGTTAATAAGGTATGGATTTTATAGAATGCTTTTTGAAATCAAACAATTTTAGAGAATTTTTTGAATGTGAACTAAATTCTACATTAAATGTATCTTGAAATAAAAATTTTTGAAGTGTGGATAGACTATTAACCCTAAACACTAATTTTGTTTAATCCATTGTATATAACTTGATCATTTCACATAGATTTTCTTCCATTTGCATTACTATCATGCTTGACATGACTAAAATTTGTTATATCATGAACACATATGATGATACAATGATCCCAAACAAATTTAACATGTGATGTGAGATTTGACAAAAAAATCATTCTTTTCTTAAATTTAAGTGAAGAAAAAATGACATCCATTGATTAAATAAAAACTCCAATAATCTTTACGTAATTTAATCTTGAGATGTATGCAAGTTATGATCAAATCGCATTGTTTCAATTCATTAAATTTGAAAGATACATGTCTTTTTGTTGGTAAGGGAGTCGATTTTAACAATCTCATCATGATGATGTAATTATCAATAGTATCTTGTTTGCTGAAAGTACTTTGTTTGTCTGACAATCCAAGGCAGTGTTAGAAAAACAAAGTCTCATATTCTCAAGACTTATTGCTCTTGTCTTGTGTTACGTTGGAGACATTGAGTGGCAACGATTTGTATATTAGAAATTTTTGTTGTTGGATTTGATATTTTGGATCAAGACAACTGTATGCATAGACTAGTCTAGATTCAAAACTCCTCATACACATGTCAATATATACAAAATTCTTTTTAACTGCAAGATCATTCTATTTATAAGATGAAAAGTAAAGTAAATTGATTAAGTACACAAACATTCACACATGAATGTTCATTTTTTCTAGGAGTAATATTGCTAACATGATGAATAGGGTTTTTTTGACCTGTCGATTAGGATTTTTTTTTGCCGACGGGTAGTTAGGGTTTTTTCCGTGGCGTTGATAGGTTCCTCAAAGGCACAAATGGCGCTTGGACTTTGAACTTGATGGTAAATCACTCCAATAGATTTTTTCTGCTCGCTAGTTGGAGTTTTCTTGCCATTGCAGTCAATTGTCATTGCTTGCCAAAAGAACATGAAGCAAATCCTCCATCATATAGTGGATCAAGAGTACGGCTCTATTGTGATTCTTGAGTTGCCAAAAGACAATTTGGTTCATGTCATTGAAGACCATAATCAGGCCCCGTTCACATTCAACAACTCGTCAGTAAGTTCTTAGAAAACACAATATAGCTAAACAAGAAATGTTCTTCTTCAATTCTCTTGCTTCTTGTTGTAGGTTGTTACCTTGGTCAAGGAGGTCACACCAAATTCATATGACAAAATTGGACTGAAATGAATACTGGAAATCACGACACTCTGCTCTTGAATATGTTTAGCTTTGAATGATTTCCAAAACTTTGAGTTGAGATTAAGCAGATTGTGAGATTTTGACAATATATGACAATATTTCGTGATCATAATTCATCTCGACAATAATGTAATCTGAATTTAGATTGCTCAAATGAATGCTAGAAACAAATACAAGAGACTAGAAGATACTCATTTTTCAAAGAAATCAAACATAATTAGATAAATAATCTAAAATCAAAATAATGTATGAGATTCAATTTTTAATTTTGCAACTCTTGCATGATAGGATAAGAATCAAACTTTCCATAATTTCTTAGTGTATGTAGCCATTTTTGATACTATGAAAGTTTGTCTACATTCCTTCTCATACAAGAGTGTAAAGTTATAATTCTTATATATATCATTTATTAAACTTTCTATATGCACATTACTTAATATTTCATACAACAACATGATTTCGCTTGGATTTGGATTGATCCATATTCATTATTCATTGTGTGATGTGTATTTTTCTTAATTAAATAATTTCATTAAATTTAAGGTTTCATATAATTCATTGTAATCTTTGACAAAGTGTTAATTATTTGTTAAATATAATTAATTCAAAGATGGAGAATTTCTTGTGATACAAGAATACACATATAAGAAAAGAATAGATATAATTTGCAAACTATTAAGACATAGTTTACTCGATTAAGTAGTACTTGTTTAATACAGCACACCTTGTAACTACAATCACGTGATTCATGCATGATGTACCAATATCAACCAGTATATGTTTATGCAAGAAGCTCATCATTTTATTTTTGTAGCTTTGAAATTATTTTGAAAAGTCAATGCTAATTTTGATACATTCAATAAGATTGTGCACGATTATTTTCACAATAGTCTAAATGAGTTTCATTTAGACTATAATGAGCATTTATTTTCCATTATTGAGAACCCAATGTCCTATGGAACATTAGTTGGTGCAATTTACAACGTAACAATCACGACATCTCATATTTTTTCATGCAAGTCAGTAATGAACTGATATATAATTTTTATTAGGCCTAGCCTTAATTTATATATATTTCATCCGCATAATATTTAATTGACTGATACTCAAATTTTTGCTTGGTTTTCATCTACAAGTGACCATAAATACTGTGAAGTAAATGGAGATAAAAGCTCTGTTTTCTCTTCTAACTCTCGTCATGACTTTCCATATGATCTGCACTTAGTATAGTTTGATGATCCCAGCATTTTATTTTACTCCTTGTATACTCTTTAGCTGGTCTACTTATCTAATCAAGATAGAACCAAATAGTCATCAATTAACTTGTTTGAACATTCGGTTCATGTCGTAGAGAGACATGTATCAGATAGAGAAACATCTAATCATAGTTTCATTTATTATATTAACACTATTAAAAGTATTAGATTGTTTCTGAAAGATTTTTCGTTACTCAGAGAAAAACTTTCACTTTTATAAAACTCGAAAGTAGACATCAAAGAAATGTACCAGTCAAACGAAAGCTTATTGTAGTGGTACATGGCGAATTGTAAAACGTGTTTCACTCCGAAAGCATATAAAGAAGAGGGAAAGTGTCGGAACGCGATCACGTTTAAGGTACGTGGAATTGGCGAAGAACAAGTTACCGGGGAATCAACAAGCGATGGGCCCAGAGCGAAGAAGTCAACGGCACAGGCGGCCAATTTTAACTCGAACTGGAACGAGAGCCGCACAAGAACGAAATTCGCTGAAGCGGGGAGTGGAACAGAGCGAACGCACAGTGGTCGGGGAATATGGACTCGGTCGTCTCGAGCAAGCTCTGGGAATTACTGTGACGCGATGGCAACATTCGAGTCAAGTCTGGAAACGAGTGGGCACTGTGGGGCGAAGGCCGAAATGAGTGTGCGATCGGAGCTCGCAGTCGCATGCTGGTGACATACACAGAACGCAGACATGATATTATGCCAGACGATGCCCGCCGGCCAGGTCACAGAGCAGAATCAATGTCAAGCAGGCAGGCAGGCAAGCGAGCGAGCACCTGAAGGACGTCGAGGGCTCAGGGAGGCATTTTCCCGCATGTTTGCAGCCGCTTTGTCTTCTTGCAAAGCTCCGGCGGTTGTGTCGTCCGATGTCCTCCGCTGCTGCTGCTGCTGCTGCACCATGCACGCACGCGCGCGCATTTCCCCGCGAGCTGGCCTGGCCTGGCCGGATCGAGAAGTATTATTCTGCGGTGCCCGCCCGGCTGACCGCCTCCTGGTCGACCACTGGTGCCCAATACAAAAGATAATCCTGTATCTGGTCTCGTGCAGCAGCGCTCCAGATTCCCTTCCTGTGTTGTGCTCTCGGATCGCTTCTGTCGAACATGACACCGATCGTCCGCCCTCTCCCTCTCCCCTCACCTCTCTTCCCTCTCGGGCCTCGCTTCGTCGGAGCCCTGTCTGATCTGAGCGCTGCCGAGCACATGCTGCAGCATGAGAGATCGGAGCATGTTGAGTACGCATGAAGTCCGTACTTGAGATGGTGCATCGCAAGCCGACAAACACAGATCATCGACGACAGCAATGTGGCAGGACGAAGCCCAGTTGGGAGAGATTCCCTCCTCCCCCGAACTTCAGGAAAAGGTACTGATGCTCCACCGTGGACTACAAGGCAGCGACATGCTCCAAATTCGACGGGGGGACCAAATTGTGCTCAAATTTCACCTGAAAGCGGGAAAGAAATTCGAAAGCACGGATGCCACACATAGAGAGGCCTTTCGATGCATGCAGTCTATCCTTCTGCTCTCCCTCTGCTAACAAGGCAGGCAGGCAGGCAGGCAGGCAGGCAGTCTGTCAGTCAGCCCTCGGCTGTGAACCATCGTCGAGCACGGAAGAAAGGACCGACAAGTCCCAGGATTCCTTCCGCGAAGATTTCAAGAAGAGCACAAAGCCAGAGCCTGACCGGAATTCAACACATGGCGACGAGGAGAGTCGAGCGAAGCAGATGAATGAGTAAACGACGAGACCTGGCTTGTTACTCTAGGATGAGTGCGCGCGTAGGCGCAGCTTCCACCGAACATTGGATAGATGTTCGCAGGAGATTCAGATCAGGGTATCGAACCAGGACCAGGATCAGGACGAGAACCAGGGTTCTAGTTCGTGACATGTGAAGTTTGTGGCTTCAGGAGAAGCGGGGGAGATGGACAGCAAGCTGTGGTCGAGATTGCCGGAGGATGAACAAGTGATGGTCTTGTCGTTCCTGCCGTGGTTCGAAATTCTGCGCTTGAGGGTCGTGTGCGTGAAGTGGAATCAGATCCTGCGAAGCTCAGAGTTCAGGCAGAATTGGAGGGGCAGAGAGTCGTCCCAAACCCCTCTCTGCTTCATGGGCAGCAAGGACTACGGGACGAGGATCTACAACCCTGCACTTCAGAAGTGGCAAGACTGCGGCCGCTCGTTCGTCACATTCCGCATGGACGAAGGGGTTTACAAGGCCCCGGACGCTCGAGTGATGGGCTCGGCTCGCGGCCTTCTCTTGCTGCAGATTCTTCTGGGGCCCGGCTACGCCGCTGCCACCCCGCACTCGCTGATGCAAGACCTATTCGTCGTGAATCCCCTCGACCCTCTGAACAAGAAGAGAGTGCGCCTGCTGCCTCACCTGCAGCACCCCAACACGAGCAGCGTGCTGGGAATGGCGTGGAACGACATCACGCGCTCGCATCAGATTCTCTTCCAGCACCACCCCGAGGGTCTGATCTTCAACGATATTTCGTCTCAGGAATCGAACATGTGGACTTTCTACAGTTACGACGTGGAGAACGATGCGTGGGACCGAGTTGCTCGATGGCCCAAAGATAGGTACAGGGATTTTCAGTCTCCCTCCATAGCCGGCGGCAATTTTCAGTGCCTGGCGAAGATGTGCTCGTCCTCTCTCCCCTACGGATCCACGCCGCCGTCGGTGCAAAGGTTTCGTTATTATCTCCGGGACAAGTCGGGGAAGAATTGGCTGAACGAGCCCACTTGGGTCGAGCTGGAGGATCATGGAGCTCCGTCGCTCCCATATCCTCTTCACTTCGCCATTCTGTTCCATCAGGACCACGAGACTTTCGTGGCGGGCGGGGAAGTGAGTTTCAGCTTAGTGGACAATAGCGACGAGTATATAGGCCTGCAAGATTTTACGGTGTGGAAATTGCATGAAGAAAGATCGGAGGAGTCCGAGTGTGAGGAGAATCAGTGGCTGGAAATTCACAGAATGCCGAGTGAAATTGTGGATACGTTTCGGAAGGGTGTCAATATGCAATTCTATTGCGCAGCTAATGAGAAGTTCCTGATTGTTGCCAATTGGTGGAGAGATTGCGCCGTGTTGGATATGAACAATATGTCTTGGCGCGTACTTCCACCAGAACCACACAATCTCTCAGCAGAATCTCCCATCCGGGAAGAGCTCTTTGACCTCTTTTATTTACACCTTTGCGAACCGAGATTGGACATCCTCTTGTAAAGAAATTCAATCGCTGGAGCAATAATCTGCTCCCATCTTCGTCGTACCTCGAATTTGCACCAGACGAAGTGCTGTAAATTAGATAGATATCGCGTACATGTTAGGAACTATCACACACGCTTTTGATTGATCTCCTTTTGCCTGGATCAGTGAGGACTTCAGTGCACGCAGCGCTGCTGGACAACGTGGTGAAAAACAGTAAAGTTCTCTCCAGCTCTCAAGCAGGCTGGGCTTATACCATCAGAAGATTAATGTCATAATTGTTTGTGATGTTTATCGGATACACGATTGTCATCTTTTATGTGATGCCCACGTTGGTCTTGATGGTGACAGTAACTGGAAGAATTACCAAATCTGGATTCTAGCTTCAATGGCTTCAATGCATGCTTGCTGGAAGACATTCGAAGAATCAGACCTCTTCTGGTCTCGTCCTCAACAGTATCTCTTGAGATATTTCCTCTGCTGTCTATGAGGGACCAAGTAATCATTACAAACTCTGGCTCTCTGAACCGTTTCATTTCCCAAATACAACGACTCGGCTCACGTGGCTGTAGAGGCCGTTTGTAAAACTAATTTCGAGGGCTTAAAAGTATGACAATTACTTTACCCTCCTGAAGGGTTTTATGGATGTAAACTCCCATGCCTATCTTATACTAGTTTCTTGGCCGTTTCTATTGCGTATTCTTCTCTCCAACAGCGATATCCAGACAACGAAATAGATCTTGATGTCCTCACAGTAGTGTCTATGTATGTTTGGGGAGTAATGTTGTCTGAGTCAGGATCCATCAACTTCATCACACTCTTCCTGTTTCATATGTCGATCTGCCGACCCCACTGCTGTGAGCAATGGACGAAGATCGGTACTGTTGACAACTTTTACCCCCAAATCTTGTTATTCTGTAGATAAAACATATTCTGGGCGGAAACAAAGTAATGAACAGAGCCTGATATTGTGTGAGAAGTTGAATGAAGCAGATACATTTATTTCTGGAAGGAGTCAAGTTTTGCAGGTGCTAGCTAACTAAGGCTCGAAAATCGACAGAAAGTATGCGTGAAGTTGCACAATACAGATCTGCTGGTTCTAAAGGTGGTACAGAGTTGTGCTGTGATTTCATTGTGTAGGCTGGGTCGGTCAATACTCTTCCAGTGTTAAACATAGAAGCCATAACTGTAGTGAGTGCGTTGGACTGCTTGATACTATCCGCTGTATGTCAGAAAGCCTGCCTAACACAACCACCCTCAGTTTCTAGTGTCCGAACACAGACTTATATAACTTCACGTCATAAGAAACAAAAAATAACGTCTCGATTTCTTAGGTAGTTGATTGATTGCAAGGTGCTGCTACTGTAATAGGTCCTCTGAGGAAATTCACTCTTTCTCAGACTGAATCGCCGAAACAGACCTCCTACAGTAAAGTCCTTAGTGTGGAGGAAAACGCTTTCCCCACACTGATGACTTTTCAAAATAGAATATTTCTTTCATTCTAAGAGGAGTTCACTTTGTAATCAGCGTGGGGGAACATGAAGAATGAATTAAGAAATTAGAATGTTATGCAGGAGCTCGATTAGGTGCTGGAATGAAGATTTGAGCTTCCAGCCCCGCTCGACCAGTGGGTGTGTGTCGGAATATCCATTACGAATCATTGTGATCGTACTGTTTGGGACCAAGATCGTGCTGTCAAACTGAATGGATCCAGTCCTGATAACAGGTGACAAAAAATTGAAATCTCACTGCAATCGAAATGTGACAGATCGAACAGATTGATTACATTGCATATCCAGGTTGTTTGTTAAAGATACTCCGTCATATTCCGTGATTAGGGGCGATATGAAATCAAGTCGTGGCATTGTCTTTTCACGACAGAAAGAGTGGACTTCGTACCTTCACATTTCTCCCTGATATTCGGTGATTCTCTTATCGATGATAAATTTACACCATTACAGAAAAATCATGTCGATATTGTACCTTGCAGAGATCCTTACTTGCCCTTCATGTGCAGACTGACTCATCAACATGGCAAGAATGGATCTCGTTGCTCCTTGCAACGAGATCGATTCTGATCTTGTTGTGGAGAACGACTCCATAGCCGATGACAACTATCGGAAATCTCACCTTCCGCCTTGCTCACCCAAAGATTCCCAAACTGATACCGAATTTAAATTCGACCTCAAATTCCACGAGGATCTGGGGCCTACAGAAATCCACCCCAATTTCACGTTCCTAGCTTGCCAATGTGTTGACTATATTGTACAGTGGTCCAGACGAACTTATTCTGAACGGTCCCAGAGCAGCTAAGGGGACACTAGATGCGAATCAGATCTGATCTGGTACTGGCCTTGACCGAGTGCTGCAGTTCAATTACAGTCTCAATGGTCCTCTGGCGGATCGGTGGCTCATTTCTGTACACTAATCGGAGAAGTATTTGCTTCTGTGGGGAAGACAGTCGTGAGGCAGTGGATAGTGGCAGTAGATTTCATTTTTCATACACAGAAACAAGCGCTCGTAAGAAGCTGCCATTTTGGTAGCAGTGAACATGAAAGACGCGTACTCGAGGCTTGACTCGCCCTTCTCCCGAAGCTTGTCTTTGCCATCTCGGATGATGGCTCTCAGAGCAGCGATCAGCGCTTCGACGTTGGGCGAAAATGTGTAACCGAAGTCGCTGCTGATCACGACGCTCCTGGTGATGCTCGAGAATTTGGTGGCGAGCAGAGGCTTGCCGCACTGCATGGCTTCCAGGAGCGTGTGATCCAAGCCTTGAGATCTGAGCGTGGGATTGGCGAAGACGTCCAACGAGTTGTAGAATTGGCCGAGATCCGCAGGGTTCATGGATCCCAGAGTCTTAGCATTGGGGCCCAGCTCCTTGTACCGCTCGCCCCAAGGCCCAGCGCCGGCGATCAGAAGGTACACATCGTCGTGCTCTTTGAGAATTTCACGGAACGCCTCGAACAAGAGCGGATGCCCCTTGTCGCGGACCAGCCGCCCCGCAGCCCCGAGCACCAGACGAGCGCGAGCGGGCACTCCGAGCTGGGCGCGAAACGCAGCGCCCTGGACGGGGTCCGGGCGGAATTTAGACTCGTCCACGCCGTTGAGGATGGTGTGCACATTGGCCTCGGGAAGCTCGTAGACCGTGCGCAGAACGTCCGAGACGAAGTCGCTGGTGGCGACGTGATGCTTGTAGCTATGGAAGAAGCGCACCTCGTCCGAGACGCGCAGCAGGCGCTCGTGCATGTTCTTCTGCAGCTCGGGCGAGCGAGGCTGCCCGGGCTTGCGGATCAGGTCCTGGACGATGTCGGAGTGGATGACCTCGAAGGCGATGCCGTGCCAGGACGCAGCCATCGCCGGCACGTCCTTGGCGCGCCAGTGCGGCAGCGCGACGCTCTCGGAGTGCACGAGGTCGAAGGCGCGCGACGCGTTCGCGCGGGCGAACAGCTCCCAGGCCTCGAAGACCGGCAGCCCGCCGTTGGCGTTCGGCTTCACGAAGTGCACGCGCAGGTTCCCGTCGCGCACGTCGGCCGGGTGGCTCCCGTCGCCCGACATCGTGAACACCTCCACCTCGTGCCCGCGCCGCGCCAGCTCCCCGTGCAGCGTCATGGCGTGCCGCTCCAGCCCGCCCGGCGTCCCGCCCACCGGCCACTTCTTGACGAACAGCGCGATGCGCAGAGTCGCCGGCGGCTTCTCGCCGTAGCACAGCCGGTTCCACGGCGTGGTCAGGGTCCTCACGTCACCGGACCATCCCGCTCGCGACGATCCATCGTCGCGAGCGACACCGGTCCCTCGATCCGGCCTGTGCCGGCAGCACGAGAGCGCCTGGAGAAATCCGAATTGCGCTTCGACGTTGCTGGCGGCGGAGGCCAGCGAGCAAATGGGCCCGATGGTCGCGAGGAGGAACAAGAAGGTCGACCAGATGATGAGCATGGCCCAGATGCACTGCCAGGAGCAGCCCAGGGCCGGTCCTCGTCCTCGGTGAGCTTTCGATCTCGGAGTCCCTCGATCTCTGTTTCCGGATCCACCATCGCGATCCACTTTCTTCCTAGTCGTGGCCATCCCCGCTTCGTCCTCACTCAGATCGTCCATAACATCTGCAATCTACTCCTCTTCTCCATCTCATCTCGTCGCGTCGCCCCATGACGATCAGGCCTTGCGCTCGCTCTCGCTCGTGCATTCTCTCGACGGATCCGTGCAATGTCATCGGTTATGGACACGAGTAAGAGGATGTTATCACTCGTGACTCGCTCGAAAAGTCCACCTGCTTCACACATCTCATGATCGAATGTGAGTCCTCAACTGTACCCTCGCAGGTTCTGCGAGGGTACTGATGAAAGAGCGTTCTGATCCAGGCAGCCCTCACTCGCCACGATTCCCACTTCCCACCACCGAAATCTTGTTGGAACGAATCGGACTCTGTTGTTGGAGCACCTCAATCCTTGCGAGATTGGGAGTTGAAGTGGGAGATTTCTGCACACGGTGTATAGATGGGATGATTATAAGGTCAACTCGCCATAACAGCTTCGGCTCGTGAAGGACGGAGGGAGGGATTGAGTGAGTGAGTTGGGTTGTCAGTTAGTGCGCAGGCTTGATGCAAAGATCGTCAAACGTGTCGGAGAAAGTTTACTCGAGTCCGTAGTCACTTACTTGCCTTCCTTCCTTCTGCGGCATCGGTGCCCTTGCATTATTAAGGCACCGAACTCACGACGTTAAGCTTTGGCTCCGTTCCACGTCTGTCCTCCAGGCGAGAGACGACTTTCGTCTAAAGAAGCCAGGTCCATAACGTTTTCTTGGTTTCCTTTTCAGTCTCTGCGATGACGCTTGTAATTTGGCATTATAAGCCTTCACGGGAAGGAGTACTGTACGTCCCTCTTCCTCAGGTCGTTCTGTATGTCTGATCTCGTCGACATTCAATCCAACTCCTGCTCACGCACAGTCGCGTCCTGCGTGCAGTTTGACGTCGCCCACGTTTTCGAATGACACCGACGAATAGTGAAGGAGTGTCCTCTCTGCGAAGAGGAGAGGCCTCAACCTTCCCGAACAGACAGAACAGACTGCGCAAATGGTGAAAAAAGAGTTTCTGCACGCCCAGCTGAAAGGTTCGTTTGAGAATCAGCCTTGCACGGTTCGTTCTGTGTCCGCCTTATGGCACAGAGCCCAATAGTTTTCAAGTTCGATGGGAGCAAGGAATGCTCATAGATCCTAGACATCTGAATTCTACATGTTGAAGACAGTCATCCAGTCGAATCACCATCATTCGCACCATGGAATCATCTCACAATCACCATACAACGCGATGCAAACTCCATCTGAGATATATATCTTCGCTAGAAGATGTGGCGAAGGATTTAGACTCGAGGGCACTCTACGGTGATGTGCCAAGAAGAAAGCGAAAGGAATTGAGCACCTGATTTGTAATTTTTTATAAATGTGTACTGAATCTATACTGCAAAGCGGAACGGAACACATGTTCACCCTGATATTAGAATCTAGATACAGCGATTGCTCTTAAGAACTCGGAGCTGAAGGTCTTTCTGTGCGAGCTTTGACAGCACCTGCAGGAACCGATCAGCCACAAGTAAAGATGGATGGACAAAAGGGATGGACACAAGCTCTTGGGATCGGATCAACTGAATGCCAGTTTTGCTGACAGTTTACAGTACGATACCCAAGAAGTAATACCGCAATCTTCAATTTGGGTCATCCCACGACAGTCAATCGTATGTAGCTCAAGTCTTCAGACGTATCACGCTTTGTGGAAATTTAAATGCTGTGTATGCTGCTGCCACAAGTTCAACACGTTGAGACCTCTGCCTTTCAAGTTTGAGCTGCCTAGGTCCATCTCAAGCTTTCTTCAATTCTCCCAACCCAGTCGTCAATGAACATTGGCAGTGAAGGCAACACCGTAAACATAGACTAGAAGTTCTTCAATAAATTTCTTGTTCCTGGTTGAGCTGGTTGCTTCGATTCTAAAGCAATGAAGGTCAATCAATGCACACAAATTTAACCACATCATCAGCCAATCGGCCTCGTGCGCTTTTCCCTAGCGCTCACGCCCTCCCGCTCTACATTCTCCGCCGCGACTTCGAACCCCACAAAGCACAACATTTCTTTCATTCAAAGGCACGAGAATAGAGAGGAAGGAATCAGAAGATCTGGCCTGATATGTTGAAACAAACCAACGGTATCATGTTACAATCAACAGCGATTCCATTGTTTCTGGGAGAACAACAATGGACAGATCTGAAAGATTTCAGACTATGTCAAAAGTGTAAACCGCTCCGCACATTGATTCCATCTAATCAATAAAGGATGTACAAGACTGAAAGTTATGAAATCTAGGACTATATCTTACGGCAAAATAGAACATAACAACTAATACGAATTCATGCAACTTAGATAATTTAGAAAATAAAATCTTAAACAGTTTATGTATTAATATTATGTGATGAGTACTTTGGAATATGATTGTGAGGAAATCTGCATTGTAACAAACTTTACTAAAGTAAAGGTAGAATCTATGTTGTGTTTTGCAATTGGAACACGAAATTACTCAAATTATAGAAAATCATACCACGTAATGATGCAGAGATTATTCTTCTCACTTGCCAGATTTAAAGGGTTGAATCTAAATTAAGTTTATGTATCAATATTTTGCAAAAAATAATGTATCCATATTCATATTTCAATATCACAATTTGTTTCATCAGATTTTCATTAATTTTTTCTGGAAAAGCTTCTACGACCAAAAAAGATTCAAACTGCTCGGAGATTTGTACATTAAGAATGTTGATGTTAACTCCGATTAAGGAGTAACCTTAGGATTTAGCTATATATAGCTAGGTTGATCGCCAATTTTGGGTATATATACGTTTAGTACAATCTTGCGATGCACTTCCACGTGCATCGCAAGTGCATTTCCACGTGCACTTGGATGTACTCCCTCCCAAGGGTGAACCATTTTATTTTTGTCTCTTGTGTTGTTTGGCTTGGCTTGAGTATGTCATTGTGTTTCTCAAATTTTACCTTAACAATTAGTATCTCAGTAGATTTTAATTCAAAACCTGGTTCAGAAGAGTGTGTTTTTCTATTGAGAGTATTTTTATTCTGATGATGGTTTTTCAAGTGGAGGAATACTCAATTTTAAATAGTTTTTGGTTTGAGTATTTGACAGTGTTAGTACTTGTTGATAGTTTTTTTGAAGATAATGTTAAGGTTTTTTTGCAGGTTTTAAAGAGATTTGTCAAGAGGAGACGGACAGAGACCGCAGTAGTGGATTTTGCAGAATAGAATCAGCGGAAGTCACTACTGGTTCTTGTGCTCGGAGTATCTCCTCGAAGTATCCCCATCAAAAATGTGTGCGTGTTTTTTTGCCGCGGTTGGATTTGAGTGCTGAGGAGAGGATCTGTTTGCTACTCATGGTAGCAGCAGATTGGCGACAACAATCCCTTGCTGTAGACAAACAAAGGTTGTAGGCAGCAAGGACATGTCATAGCTCTAATCGATAGTTTCCCCGTGAGAGCGACACCATGAAGGCGAAGAAAAAGCGGGGCGGAGAGGCCTCCCTTTGAGTAAGGACATTCATCAATACTGTCATCAAAACTCCCTTGGAGAATATCAAAGCTCCCTTGATCCGATTCTCTCGGGACTATGAGAAAGGACGTTTGACTCTTTCAAAAGCCGGAGACAATACATCTATCTACGGTTACTTGCCTTCACCGTCTTGCTGCAGTCAAATGTTTGTGATCAAGTTTTGACTGCAAATCCTGATCACAAAGATTTGACAACATTTTTCATCATCTGTCATTGTCTTGGTTTCTAGATCCTCAGGCTGTGCCGTCTTGAGGGAAGCAAGGCTGATATCCACTTTGCTCCGGTTGCTGAAAGATATGAACCCTCAACACACTCATCTTGTCAGCTCAACGGTTCACAGTTTGGAGGCGTTAATGGATTATAGCAATCCTACTAGTACTCTATTTAGAGATTTAGGAGGCTTTGATGACACTATTGTCAAGTTGAAGCTTGAAGTTACCCGGGTCGAGGACGGAGCTATGAAGTAGAAGGAGGAGTTGCAAGTGAATACCAAGAGTAAATCTCCCATGATCGAGGACGTCGATTCTCAAAAACCTGCTCTTGTGCAATTAGAGACTTTGATACCATATCATCAAAGGTTGCTTCTCGAGACTCTACTGCAAGACAAGTCTGACTCTGATGCCTTCAACTTCCAGTCTAGCAGACCCTCATTTGAAATCAATGTAGCAAATGTTACTACTCGTTGAGATAGCTAGCAGTGAACTAGTGAGTGCGTGCTTACCAAATTGGATGGGAATATTTACGGAGCCGCAAAGAGAGTGAGAGACCGGAGTCTGAATTGAAGTGATTGTTGCGAAAATAGAATTTCACAACGTTTCCTTGTGAGTCCAATTTGTTCTGAGCAGTGCGGTCGCGCGTCGGCGGCCCTGCAGGTCAAGAGGGCTGGTCGAGCGGTCAGGCAAGAAAGAGAGTGGCGCGTGGCGGATCATCGCTCGATATCAGACCAATTTCTCCCTGGTGGAGTCACGCGCGGTGATAGCCGCGGCTCCTTCTCGTGGTAGGAAGAGACGAGGGTCGGGACAATTTAAATTTATCAAGCCGAGTGCATTTACAAAGGCTTGGTGGGTCACCCTACTCTCGTGTTCAAATAGACTACCGCAGTCGGCCGGGCCAACTGCGATAGGCAAAGCAAGCGTGATAGGTGGGCAAACCGTGGTCGGCGAGGTTACTATGGTAGACAAGGCAACCACACTCGACGATGATGGCTGATAGTCAACAACAACGGTGATAATTGATAATCAATTGTGACGGCGACAGTCACGATGAGTTGCAGGCGACGGTTGCGTATGATGGTAACAGTCAGTCGTGTTCGACGGTGTCTAAGTTGTGGAGGACAGAGGTCGTGGGCATGTGGCTGACACGTGGTGGATAGTCAAGACTGGATAGATGCGGCAAGCACGTCGGGCAGCTACGCACAGTTTGGGCAAGACCGTTTGGTAGATTCTGTCCGTTGGAAAGATTTCATACATCAAAAGAATATTGTGTTTATCAATATTACATCCACAAAAATCTTCATTGAAATATAGGCAAATTTGGTATCGTTGGAAATCTCTCAACGCGATTAGTGCATCTAGATCTAGATGCACAGAGTTGACAGATGACTCAGAAGGAGTAAATTTATGCAGAGGCTGCTACTATCTTTAATTTTTAGAGGAGTGAATATGGTCATAAGACAAGTCGAAGAATTTAGATCTAGAAAGAAGATATTACGTGTTTTGGTCAATTCAGTATTACTTGCTATGGGATTTAGTAGCATGTACGGTTCTTGTCGGTATAGATGTTTTCTTTCAATGAGGCCTAGATCATTGAAAGAGTTGGAGAGTTCTCAAGCTTTTCTTCATGACAAGGGAAAATCTCCGTTCACAGATATAGTTGTGGTTGAGTTTGATCATTACATGATTAATGATCAAGAATGAGCACCGGTAGTGGTAGAGTTTCTGAGCACGTGATTGATCTAGTCAAGATTGACGGTAAACTCAATACAGTTGACACGTTGACCAAAGTTATCACTTTGAAGAGTTTCAGACATCACTCTGCTACTATGCAAATTATGCATGGATAGCACAGGTAGAGTTTGCTAACATAGTATCTTCAGTTATTTCTTTATATAATTACTCTATGGCTACGGCTTAATTCTTGTTAACTCTCGTTTAAAGATTGGACTTTTATTAGATTTTTTCCTAGATCTTTTAGTGGAATAATTATATAGGTTACAAATTTTTTGTTCCCTTTATGCTAGCATTCTTTTAGTTATCTTTTTATGTTGTTACTTTATCATGTTATGGCTACGGCTTAATTCTAAATAACTCTCATGTATATAGAGTGTTTGGTGTAAGAAATCTGTCTAGAACTTCCTATTGAGTATAATACAGGTATAGAAGTTATTGTTTCCTTAACACTTATTAAGGGGGAAATATGTTGAGAGTAACTCCGATTAAAAAGGAACATCAAGTTCTAGCTATTTATAGCGATGTTGGTTTGGGGTGTTGGATATGTATGCCCAAAATTTTTGTATTATTAGACAGTACATTCAATACAATCTCACGATGCACTACTCCGTGGACGTAGCCCCTTCCAATGGTGAATCACTTTATTTCTGTCTCTTGAGTTGGTGGCTTGGCTTGAGTGTGTCATTGTATTTCTCGGTTTTACCGTAACAAAGGAAAGTGGTTTATGAATCAATCAATTAAATGATTTTTTATAATTCAATGATTCATGTTTTAAATGATTATAAAGCTATAAAGTTGAATATATAATTTAAATTTAAGATGGAAATAAATAATGAACATTATTTATATTGTTATCAAACAAGCAGTCTTTACATTAAGTTTGCAAAGTTGTTCAAGCTGCTGCAGTGAAAATATGCTAATTAGCGTGTGAGATGCTACATACTAGTTGTGTTCTATGCAAAGAAAATTATTACAATGATGATGACATTAAACTATGGGAAAGATAATTTGAGACTTTTCAGTCGTATTGTGATTGTTGAACATTTTCAGCTTTTTCCATGTAACTTTAAGGTTATCACACGAAAAAGATCATGAGTCAATAGATTGTTGTTACACATCTATCTAGATGGGAAGTCTTGCAACTTCATGGTGAAAATGCTTTCAACAAGTCTTGTGTGCATATTTTTTTCTTAAACTTACGAGATTAATGAATTTATTTCAAGATTCATTCCTTCAGTATAGTCTAAATAATTTTTATCATTATTTTTCAGAATATGTGATTAAATATAATTTATGAACATTTTTACACCATACAAGAGATGTTTTAGTCCTTAGAAAAATGAGCTGTTGTTCTTTAAAATTTTACCGAATTTAATAAAGGTGTACAATCTAACTCGATTCAGAGTTTGTGAAAGCTTTAGATTCAATATTCATAAGTCCGAGCATTTGTATACTATGTAGGTTATTTTTGTTCTTGTTTTGATAAGGGTATAGTATTATGGATTTTGATATGACTATTCATTAGATTTTTCAAGCTACAATGATCATTTTTCACAATAATTTTGGTTCTTTTATGTAATCTTTCATTGCTTATATGAGGCTAAAATAGAGGTAGCAATTCTTTACAACGAATGGAGAATTAAAAAAATTTGTTATCTATAGTGTGATTAGGGACATTATGTTTTGGATTTCACGTTAAATATATATCTTATATGAAGTAAGCGTTAATAGGTGTTACAATCTATGTAAAAGTGTATATGAATTACTTATAGTGTAGAACCCCCAGTTACAACTAGAAATAAGATGCTTATCAATATTTTGGCAAACCTTCGAATAGACTATTAAGAATGGACGATTATCCAACTTTCACGAGTAACAGCAACCTGTTACAAGATTATGAAGAATTTATCAACATATTATTCAAGCATTTGATTTATACGACCGTAGACTTTGACTAGTTTGTAGAAATGTTGTGAAAATATCTACAATATTATGACAAGTAACTGAAATATTAAGTAGACTATTTTAAGAAACATGTTTCATCATTTTGTAGAAACCAATATGATAGAAATATCATTAATCAAATATAATAAAAACGAATAAAAATCATTGATATAATACAAATCATCAAAAACCCTTTCAATTTAACATAAATATATAGTCGATACGATGCTCTACCTGTTGTGTCCGGAGAGTTTATCCAAATATTTTTGTTTTAGCTAAACCTTATAGAAATGATGGAAAATTATATTACTACTAGTTCCAGAAAATTCACTTTTAGAATCTAAGTAGACGTGAATGACATATCAAGCTGTAGCTGAAAGAAGAGGGAAAATGGGATGAAAGTCTTCGGAGTCTTTAATGCAGACTCATCCTAGAGCCGCTAGAGCAGCCAGATTTCATGTTAAGGATGAGGATCAGCAGACTAGTGCAGTATAATTATATCTTCAAAAGTAATCATCTACAGGAAAGAAATGCTTCATTCCACTCTACAATACTAGAAATTAAAGATGATCACGGCAATGCCCCGCTAAGAAGGTATTGAAAACTATATCCCTTGCGTATGCGTTCAATCTACTAAGCAGTCAAGTTCGAATCGAAAAATTTTCGTTCGAGTAACAGAAATTTGCTACAGGGATACGTAGACTGAGAGAAGGAGACAGAGATAAGGCGAAGTCCAGAGGGTTCGTGGGAAGTTTTGAGGTAAAGAGAGGAACGTCTCGAGGTTATTCGTTCTGCTTATGGTTACAGAAGAAGGAAATCACAGAAAAGTTGCAATTTCGACTCTAGAAGTGAATTTAAGTCATTTCATTTATTTATGATTTGGGAGTATACATTTATTGCACCATTTAAAAACAGACAAATTATATTGCAGCATATTGCGGAAGTCAAATTTCTCACGTACCATAGTTTCTCCGGAATTTCCCCATGACTCATGTCAAGAATCTGCACCGCAGACTGGGAGATCGATATGTAGCAACATAGAATACAACTCAGAATCAGTTGTCTTATATGTGCTAGACTACAATCCCTTCAAATTCTTGACGGTATCAGTAGATACTCCGAACGATTTATCCATCACTACGTCCGGATATTTCGAATCAGACAACGTTGGAGGCAGCAAAATGAGGCCAGGGTTTGAGGTGCTGAATCCTGGCACAGCTTTCATGGTCTGTTGCATGTCCCGGTTGGTCTGGAAGTGGACCAAACCCTTCCGAAAGACGAACAGGTCGCCTTCGTGCAGCGCCTGCGAAAACAGCTTGTTGGTGGAGTTGATCAGACCAACATCGAGCACACCTTGAACGATATAAAGAAGCTCAGATCCACGAGGATGATTGTGCAGAGCATTCAAAGTTTGAGGTGGATACTGGAGCATTGCGAACGAAACCTCAGAGACCTTCTATGGCAGGAAACATCTGCGTGTTAACGGGTGAGACGGTGGCTGCTGTTCCGTTCAGAAGTTCAGTTTCTTCACCTCCACTGAAGAAACTGCCAACGAGAGAGGAAACAGTCACGCCAGCCTGAATTATAAAGTCAGTGACGGTATAAAATATATAGCGTGGGAAGGCCCGAAGATGCCACTAATGTCCTGGATCGAGGGTTCCGACGACAGCCTTTCGGAGCCGCACGAAAGAATATTTAATATTTGAGCTGCGCGCTTCGACCAAGTCACCCGAAGGTGCCACTATGTCCTGGATCGAAGGTTCCGACGACAGCATTTCGGAGCGCACGAAAGAATATGTAAAATTTGAGCTGCACGCTTCGAGCCAAGTCACTACGTAGGGAATAAATTATACAGTCAATGATCGTATCTGGATCAGCACCAAGAGTTCGAGAATTGTGGAGCGACAATGCTACATCAAGCAAAAAGTAAACGCGTAGGAAGGACCGAAGGTGCCCCTATCGTCCTGGAGCGTAGATCCGACGACAGCCTCTCGGAGCAGCACGAAAAAGTATCAAACTTTTGAGCTGTGCGCTTCAAGCAAGTCACTTCAAGCATTTACTTCTCCGCAAGCCACATCGAATAATTAAAATTAATATGATTTAACCGCTTCTGTGCAAAAAGCAAGCGCTTGACCATCACGAATGTTGAGATATTTGGCGCAGGAACTCTTAGAAAACAAGGTGTGTAACACATATCTTCAATTCAGGTTGCTGCCAGAACCACGGAATAAAACCTCGCCATCCTCTCGTAAGCACTGGGATCAAATATCGGGGTGTTGCGTTTTGTCGTGCGTATTTTTCCTCTGTCCGACAAAAAGATTATCACAAAATTCTAGGTTACGAAGCATGGTAATATTGCAAGATGGAGTGTTAATGTGGACACATGGTCTTCGCAATGAAGCGCGCACTGGAGCTCATCTGTGACGCACGAGGCCCTGTTATTTACCACTCCTGCCGTCCGTTTTGTGATCCCATAGCTAGATTTAACTCGAATACACTTTCCCACACTTGCACAGGTTTAGAAATTATCCTTGTTTTAAAAAATGAAACCAGCGAGGAGAATTTCGATGCGGAGCTCCAAATCTTGGACCTAACGAAGAAGGATAATTTTGAAGAGTACCGCATGCCATGGAAATGTTGAGTGGCACGCCTTTGACGATTGCAAGGCTTGCGCACGTTCTTGGTCCTGTAAATGTGTTTCGATTCTTTCATGCACTAATGATTGCGCTCAGCGATTACTGTAATAGGTTGATTGATAGTGCATATCAAATCAGAAAGTTTGGATTTCCATTGTTTGTTTAAATAGCATAATAATGCAAGTATTGACATCAGCAGGTTGTAACTTAAGAAAAAAAGGATTAGCATGACTTGAATAAGATTGATATAGTAGCGGAAAATCTCTCCGGAATGTTAACATATTCCAATACTGCACTGGGTCAAGTATTTGTCAATAAAACATGTCAATTATCTTTATGCCAGAGAGATCTTCCGTTAATATCGAATTCTTATTGACATGTTACAATAGTGCACTGGGTCAAGTATTTGTGAATAAAACATGTCAATTATCTTTATGCCAGAGAAATCTTCCGTTAATTTCGAGATCTTATTGACATGTTTCAATAGTGCACTGGGTCAAGTATTTTAAACATGTCAATTGCCTTCATGCAAGAGAGATTTTCCGGTAATATCGAAATCTTGTTCAAGGCATGCTAATCTCTTTTGTACTTTATTTACAACCTGATATCGGGACCCGCCCCTACAGTTCTCTTAGAGGTTGTTATAGACATACGAGGCTATCTCATCGAGGTCGCTTTCAGGAACCATCAACGCTCTTTAGAGCTACTATATGTTCTTCGACCACGCACATGACAATTAGCAAACAGCATATACAACCATCATTATGACGCTCAACTTGATTGACCCGTGCAGTCTATCTGTTGATTTCTTGTTCCGAGTTCGTTTTCGATCCTACATCAATCGACCCTGAGTTTGCTTCTTTAATAGGTGTCAAAATATTCATTGATGTATATGTCTATATTTTTTCCTTACTATTTTTTAGATATATAGTGTTGTATCCATTTTACTCAAAACCTCCCCATAACAAAATGGATATTTAACCGCCGTAACCGCTCAAGTACTATTAAAGCTATGAACTTATTCATCAAAATCTTCAAGCGTCTTAGATTATGAATCTTGAACGGATATGTTTTAACGGAACTATTGATACAAGTTTTTACAGTGAAGACGTTATCCCAAGATTTACTCAGAAGAAATTTTAAAATATGGGTGAGAGTTTTCGCAGACAGTCCTATATTCGAGCAAACCGGCTGAGGAATCAAATTGTAGTCCAGCTGAAATATCATTACCTACTTCCAAAACATCACTTGCTTTGTCAATATTACGATAATGTGCGATTCTAGCGGGAGAGACTAAAGTCAAGCATTCTCTTACATGAGCCCATCCTTGACTCCCCTTGACTCCGCAACCTCTTAAGATTGGAGGCACGTAGCGTATTTTATTTCCAAATTGACTTTTCCGTGTATTGACTCATTCCATCCGGGATCCTTGATAGCCTTCCTAGAGGAGTTGGTTGAATCTGATCTGCTAAGATATAGCAGACGCTTAAGCCCCTTCCCTTATGCTGATAAGCGGAAAAAAAAATGAGTTTTTTTCATTTTTGTCCTGTCGCGTAGGCGAGTACTACGAGCTCTCTGACGTCCACCTACCAAGGTCGCGTCTCCTTCCAACTGACAAACTCACGGCTGACAACTCATGAATATTTTGACACTTGAAGCCTCATATGTGAAAGCGTAAGTTATTCTATTCACAAGTACTTATTTAGGCAATATCACTGTCTCTTTTCTTAGCAAAGAGTCCGTTTAACTAAAATCACTGGCGAAATCCTGACGAAGGAAGAATTCTAGATGCCGAGCTTTCATTCGAGCTTAAGTGAATAATTCAAACGATTGTTTTGATCGATCTCAGATCAGCTTCGATCCAAGGCTGCTGGACTTTAAACACCCATTTGAGCTTCGTAATCTGGCTTCCCTGATCCAAGTCAGTACAGATGTAGAAGACTACGCGAGTGAATGCGATCATAAGCCCGATAACTCCAGATTACTGGCAAGATTGTGCGTATAAGAATCTTAGATGTGTGAAAGGAGGTGTGCCAGACGGTCAAGAATTAAAAATTTGCTTTCGAAATGATGTCAAGAATCAGAAGAAATTTATGAGAAACGGTTTTATTTACGTAATAAAAAGAGAAGGCCGAAGCAGAGGCTAAAACGACGTTTACTGATCGCTAAGGGAACTAATTCCTGATTTTGCAGTTGCCTCAGAAGACCTAAGATATCTACCCAGAGCCATCATAGGAAAGTAATGTCGATACAAGTGATATTTGACGTATAAGTGTTTGGGGAACCCCGTTCCAGTGAAATGCCTCTCATTCCACGTGCCTCCAGTGGTGGTGTTTGTAGGAATCTGCAGTCCACCCTCGAATGCTTCCTCTGGTTCTTCAGAAGGGTGAACAATATTTCGAAGCAGCCATTGAATTCCTAATTGGATCGACATGTCTTCTGAGGGAAGGTACGCGAGAAGTCCCATAAGCGACCATGCAGTTTGAGAAGGAGTGGACTCGATGCCCTTTCCCATTTGGCTTTTGTCCTTGTAGGTGTTTACCCCTTCTCCCCATCCTCCATCCTCATTTTGACAGAATTTTAGCCACTCGATGGCTCGTGAAACCATGGGATCTGACATGGGAACACCGACAGCGGCGAGCCCACAGAGGCTGCCGCAAGTGCCGAATATGTAGTTGACAGCCCAGCGTCCGTACCAGGATCCTTGAAGCTCCTGAGAGTCGCGCAAATATTGGATCCCCAATCGTGTGCCAGTTTCTGCCTCCGATCTTAAACGGCGATGGATCTCCGTGTGCTTGTACTGCTCCGAAAGCTCCAGATATAAGCCCAATACTTCCAGCACATGACCCGCGACATCGGGAGTGCTGGGATCACAGAGTCCACCCAGATCCGAGGTAGGATGGTCGTTCAGGAAAAGTTTATTATTGTCGACGTCATACGCTGCCCAGCCGCCATCTTTGTTCTGCATTCCCAGAATCCATCTCAGAGCTCGATGGACGTTGTGACTCTGAACTGCGTCCGGACTCTGCTTGAGCAACGAGATCACAACCGCGGCTGTGTCGTCGACATCGGGATACCAAGAGTTGAAGTACCCGAAGGCCCAGCCTCCAGACTCGAGCTTTGGTCGGTATATTTTCCAGTCGCCGTACTCCACGAGCACCTGCCGATCCAGCATCCATCGTACAGCGCCTTCGATGCGTGCGTCGTTGGGACTCCAGCCACAGTCTAGCAAGGCCGTAACCGAGAGAGCAGTATCCCAGACCGGCCCAACGCTGGCTTGGATCCTGTACTGGCCGTGCGTTTCCCAACTGAACCGCTCGATGGCCTGGACGAACCTCTTGATCTCTTTGGAGCCCGATGAGTATCCTTGCAGGGTCATAGCAATGGGAGCGTACACCATAGTAAAAATAATGCCACCAGAGTCGCCCTCCTTCTCTTGGTGATCCACGATGAATTTCATACACTTCTGGATCGCGTACTTTCGGACCATGCTCGGTTTGTGTTTGTCATAAAATCTGATCAGCGGGTCGATCAGGCTGAAGAAGCTCTTCCAGCTTATGCCGTTTTTCCACATGATCTGCCTCACTGGTGGAAGATGAGGCACATTTCGGCCTTCGTGGGGGAGCCATAGCTCCATCATCATTTGGTGGCAGGCCTCGTTCGGCAATTTGTATACCGGTCGGTGATGATTGATCACTAGCAGGGGAACTGTAGCGGATCTAGCCCAGCTGGAGAACCTGTACAGACTCACGGGCAGCTGCGATGGTATGAGTATCATCTCAGCTGGAAACATTGGAAGTGCAGTCCAGGGAAATATTCCGAAGAGAGCCAGGGCTATCTTAGTGAACACTCTGACCCGGGACAGGCCGCCCTTGGCCAGTATGAATGACTTGGCCTTGCTTAGAACGCTGTCGTCGGCATCTAGTCCGAGGATCGTGAGCGCTAGGTAGGCATCTGTTGTCGAGGAGATGTCTCCCTCGAGACCGAATGCATTCGACCAGCTTCCATCTTCTGGATTCTGTCGCTGTGTGAAGAAATTTATGATTTTTTTTTTCCTCTCTTCTGGGAGATGTAGTCCCAAAACCTGCACGAGCACGATATATATGGACGTGGGAATTGGATTGAACTCGAATTCGGCACACCAGAAGGGCTCTGTTGTTCGTTGAATGGACAGCAAGTGCTCAGCTGCTCGACCCACTGCCGCGCGCACGCTCCCAAGTGAGTCCATTTGAGCTTGCGCCTAATCTGATCCATGAGAGACCTCAGTCAGCGTCCTAAAATTAAGTCCAAAACGTGAACTATATACAATGCTACATACAACGCTACAAATGTGACGTCGGAGCAACAAGTAAACAGATCAAAATCAGAGTCTAAATCTTTTATCAAGCTACAACTTCTCGCGTCTGCAATTGTCACTGCAAAACAAGGCATCTGTCATCATTCGTGAGAACAGGAGAAACTGCACATAATTTTTCGGGTGTAAAAAAGCTGGAAACATACTAGACAGAAATGACCACTTTCAGTAGATAGAAATAGAGCCTCATTTTCTTGGGACTGTAAATTTCCTCATGTTTCGACCACAGGCCACTGCCTGTGGTCGAAACATGAGGAATACTCCCGACCTGCAGTGGAGGCAATCGGCCCCCTAGGCATACCCGTGTCTTCGAGTCCCAGCTGGGCAGCTCGGATGCCTAGACTGGTTAAGGGCAAAACACTTTCCTGCTGTCTCGCAACTATTGCCCAGTTCTCTTTGACACGGGCTTGCAGACAGTGTATACTATGGGTGACTACAACAAGTCATGCAGTCGATAATTAGCATACGAGCCTGTCTTCTGGGTGGTAAGATGACTGTCATTAGTTTCAATCGGGTGTTGCTAAAGCAATGTGAACTCAAATGAACTGAGAGTTAACAGCGAGACGCTCCTCGCTTGTACCTCAATTAGCATGTGAGTGTAGGGAACCTGAGGGTTCAGCTCCGAGGACTAAAGACGATGGTGGCAGCTGCAGTAACACACGATGTGATGAAGATCCAGCTGAAGGTGCCACTAATGTCCTGGATCGAAAATTCCGACGACAGCCATTCGGAGCGCACGAAAGAATATGTAAGTAGATAGCAAGTAAACGAGAATCCCATCAAGACTAAACATCTTGCCAACTTCTCGGCGTGAGTATTATTTCACAGGGAGTGGAATCTGCGCTTAGTTTCCTGTGGCGGATAAGTGATTTTAGGGTCAATCACTCTTCCTCCGCAGTCTTGTTGACTGATGGCAGGCAACTCACAAGTCAAAGGAACGGGGTCCAAACACAGCGTGAAATCACAGAGGACTATCCGAGGACCTGTCCCTGTGTCTAATAGGTTGTATTTCAAGTATTTGAAGAAGTCTGACAGGAGTTCAACCTACTGGGACAGACTGTCCAATATACCGCTTTTATTTAATATCTCCTTTCACTCTAGCCGAAATGCAAACATTTCGAGATTTTAATAAGATAAAGAAAGGAGTCGATTCGTACCGGCGAGATCCAACGGTGAAATAAATCCCCGGCTGGAAGTCAGAGGACCTTTAGTAACCCAATGCTCAAATATTTTATTCGGCCGCAAAGCGAACCAAGTGCGAAAGCGAGTATTTTTGGACGAAACCCGGTTTTTCGAAGGGCTGGAAATCCAAAGCTCTCGACCAACGGCCCAAAGAACACGAGATACTTTGTGGGTCCGAAAGGGCCGGGGATTGGCTGACAGGGCCCCTGGGGGGTGGACTGTCAGACAGGGCCTAGGGGGACTGTAAGAGAAAAAAAACTGCCAGGAAAAAAACAAATTCACAACAAAAGAAAAAAATTTATTGGAACCATATTGATGTAATGCAACCAGATGAAGAATACTAGCATCTACTATTATAAAAGGAAGTAAGTAATGAAGGCTAAAAAAACGATTTAAGGTGGCATTGTCTAGCCACCCCAAAGCCAAGTTACTATAGTGTCTCCTACGACCAGGTATTGCGCTAGCTAAGCTTGTGGCTCCATGAAGAGGACCCCAAGGTAATACGTATCCTATAAAAGCTGTTACCATAATTAAGAATAACGTGACCACTCCAAGACACCAAACTAATTTGCTAGGACTCGCAGAACTTCCACGAAAAAAATGAAGCACAATAAAAAACATACTGGCTAACTCCGCGGGGGGGGGGGGGGGGGGGGATGACTAGGCGTAAAGGGCACCTAGGCGGTGAATCCAGTTGAAAGTGAAAGTCGCCAGCTCAACTGGCGGAATGCTTTCAAAACCAATTTACTAGAGTAGGGCTTCTGCTGTGACTGGGTTCCTCTGGGGGGCCATGTGGACTTCTACATATGTCCCGGGAATGTAGTTCCCGGAACCTTCGGCGCTTCTTTCGTAAAGGCAAAGAAGTCTCCGTCGGGCCAACGAGGACTCGACCAGCGGGAGAGCCCCAGGGACTTTTTTTGTCATTTTCTGCCCGTAAAGCGTCTAGCCCCCGGCCCTGTTAAATTGAAGCATTTTTGGCCGTGATTAATCCGATTAATCACGGCCAAAATCCAAGCTCGTAGGAATCTTATTTGGTCGGGATCGCAGCTAAAGCCTACCCATTTGCGCGGCCAATCTGGGCTGAAGTCAAGTTGGAGCCAGAATGCCCGGTAAGTGCAGCATCTGTTGGGCCTACTTACTAGCCTTAATAGGAGTAGTTACTAGCGATGTCAGTTGTTTTTATTATATACGCTTTGTGAAAATAATGTATTTTGATACACCTAAAACATGGATTTTATATAAACCCATGGATCGTCCATAATATAAACCACGAAAAAAATGAAGCACAGTAAAAAAACATACTGGCTCCATTAGCATGCATATAACGAAGCAACCAGCCTCCTTTCACATCTCTTATGATGTGTTCTACGGTTAAGAAAGCTAGATCCACATCCTTATAGTCTTCGTGCGCGTAAATAAGCCATTTCCGGCCTGAATACGGCCATACGGCCATTGGGCCAACGGCCCTTCAGGTACTCGACTATAGGGAGAGGCCCCGGGACTGTCAGACAAAAAAGGGAAAAAAAACTGACAGGGGCTTTTTGACCAATTGGAAACATATGAAAAAAAATAGAAAAACACTTTCAAGATTTCTCTGCACATCCTAAATTGAAAGACGCTTTTACATCTTCGCCTTTCGATTTATTTCCACGTTTTCCCTCCCCCCCCCCTTAAATTGAAAGACGCTTTTACATCTTCACGTTTTCCCCCCCTAAATTGAAAGACGCTTTTACATCTTCGTCTTTCGATTATTCCCCCCCCCCCCTAACGTGGAAAACGTTTTCCACGTTCTTTTTGACCACGTGTTTTGACCAAGTAGCACTTAAAAAGAGCACTTTTTAAGTGCTCTTTTTCCTTTTTTGGTAAAGCCAAAGAAGGGCCGAAGGCCGGAAAGGGGGGGGGGGGACGTGGAAAGGGGGGGGACGTTTTATTTTCCATGTTTTTCTCAGGTTGAAATTATCTGTTGTAAGTCAATTAGGTTCTTGAAACAAGTGAAAGAAAACATACAAGCGTCCCGGAAGAAAAATAATTGCGTGGAAGAAAAGATTATGTGTGGAAAGGAGAGTAAAACAAATTTATTATTTTGTTGAATTTATTTTGATTTAAATACCACAAGAGTTGGAGTGAGAACTTTGAGCGAACTAATATCTTCGTACGAGAAGACAGCATACATGGAAATCAGTTCATCGGATAAATTAAGCAAAAAGTCGGTGTAGGTTTGGAGTAATGGATGTTATTTAGACCTCGAATAAGGCCACGAGTGTAGCGTTAAAGCAATGTCTTTTATGGGTGCATGAGAACTCGAACATGAATTATATCGGTACAATGAGCATGTTGATGCAAACTAACTTGGATCCTACTCTAGCACATGACAAGAGTAGTGCCTGAGAATTCAAACTCTTCAATAGACTGTTATGGAAAACCAGTTAACCTCCAACATAGCTCTTGAAATAATCACCTGCTGATGAACACCCAACAGTAATTTCAGCTTTACTTCCAATTAATTGAAAACCATGGGCTGTGGTAGACCATCCCGTTGTTTGTCGGCTGCCAAACTTTGGTTACAATGGGCTCTGTGAGCAACTAGAGCTTTATCCTTTCACTTGTATCATATCTTGGGTACTCAACACTAAGGTAAACTATGTGACTCCTCCGACAAAGAAATGAGTTGCCCTCCTGCCTAATTCAATTCTTCAAAACTGTTAGAAACCTTTGGAGAATTTGCTCACTTGCCATCATGCCGTCCCCACTATACATGCCAGTGGCATAAGAGCGAGAGTAGCCAGCCCAAAGCTGACATAAAGATCGGCTGCCAGCCAGTCTGTCATGCAGTGAGACATGAGTTTTAGACTCCTCAGGCATGCAATATGCTAATTATCGCATATGCAATTGACTCATATCCAATCAATTTCTCCTTCCAGATGTCTTTGTAGGGGGAGTAGGTCTGGACTTCTTGGAGACCTGGATAAGACATAAACAGAGTCAAAGCAGCATCTGAATAAAAAAATTTGAAAAACAAATTGAAAAAACCCCTTAGAATCTCGAATTCTGGAAAGCATCACACATTCAGGACATAACAATTTTAAAGGATCTGAATCGGCGTCATGTGGATGTCCATGGACCTCAGAAAGGCATACACCGGCCCACCTCAGCCCTCGAACCTTCCGAAAGGTAATGCGGCATGAAACTTTACCCATTTGTCCATGTTGATGGCAATGTTACCTAGTTCCACTCAACATCCAAGCACTGCCATACACTGCAGAATTCAAAGATAAGTGGCAAATTTTGAGCAGGCTCTTACCGGTTTTGTTTTCCGCTTGTTCTTTCCTCGAAGCCTATTCTTTGGAGGTTTGAGTTTGTAGATTCGAACCATCCAGTGGTGAGTGGTAAACACCTACACATGGAAGACGCATTGGTTCACACTAACAATGCAAGAAACTTTTACTCGAGGTTTTACTGTCATGGAGAAAATGAAATTCATATCCAGAAGCACATTACATCGAAGATGAGGAAAACGAATAGAGCCAAATAAATCTATGGACATATTTGTTCTTGTGCACCAAAGTCTAGGCTTGACGGTGGGAAGACAGAGGTATAGTTTTGTTGAGTGGAGTCATGAGTTGTAAGTATGTGTCAAGACTCGTACTATACATGATACTGGCCAGTCTTAGGGGCTGATATGTGAGGCCTCTCTACCTCTTCAAAATGTGTGAGCTTAAAAAATTTCTTTCCAATCTCTGTTCTTCTCACACGATCATAGCCCTTCCCGTCCATTGTAGCTTCTGCGAATCTGCGAACAACACGATATACTTACCAAAAGTTCCATGAAAAATGGAAAACTCCTACCGATGCACATATGTTCTCAGCAAGCAAGTCAATAAATAAAGGATAAAGTATCTGGTGGCCCAATTTGTAGTGAAGCAACGTATTACCTGTAGTACGATAGTTTGTACATGAGAGAGTTCAGCATGGTTGGTGTTGCTTGTCCATCTATTCGATATTGGCCGTCCCTCTGTACAACCACCAGTTCCCAATCAATGACGTCAACCGTTGGCAACTATTTATGTGCAACGTTTTAGTCAGACAAACTAGTTCAGTAATGGTAATTGACACAGATAATTCTCTGCTTATAGAAGTATAAGAAATACTTACAAGATAATCAGGTTCTTTAATGTGCGGGAAAACTCCCCCTCCTATACGAACCATCCATAGGAATTTGTTGATGTCATCGCTGGGATATCCCACCAGACCTATACATCGACAAACTCAATCAAGGATAATCTTACTTCTGATGAAAGGCAAGACATTCTTCGGACTGTTGTTCTCGGTAGGATAGCTTCAGTTCACACGATACTAGAGCGGAAGAAGCACTTGTCTTGACTCTTCGCTGATATGCACCAAGTGAGGCTTGAAAAAATTCTAAGATAACAGCTAACAAACCTCCAAAAATGACGAATACGTATTTCACATCCAGTGACTGGTATATCTCCCAAGCTTGCCGCTCGGGGGAAGACATGGCCATGCCAACTGTTGCAATATGAGTATTGTTCCAAGTATTGTTGTCTACTATCACCGTCCGATTGGCCATTGCAGTAGTTTGATACCCATAATCCCACCATGATGCCACCTGCGTTCATTGAAGGCTTAATAATGCAACCCTAATCCGAACATAGATATAAAACATTTGCTAATGGCCTCACCAGGTGGAAATTATTAGACAAGCTAAACGAGGCAGGGAGTCACCCAGTCTGGCTGAACAAGAAATCGAGGACGAATACCATGCTCTAGAAAAACATAACTTTACGATACCTTTTCGTTTCAAGTATGTACCTTGTCATTTTCATCTGTATTGTGACTAAGCCAAGCGTATGCCTCACGGAAATCATCAAAAACATGTAACCCATCAGCTGTGTGGGAAGTCAAAACGATTGACGGAGCTGAATATGCCTCTGCGGCGGCCCAAACACAGTGGATCTGCAAGGTTTTACAACAAAAGCTATGAAATCACCCTATGATGATGCATGCAAATCAATCCTTGTCCGTAGTATTAAAGAAAAATCTTAAATTTTTTGTACTCGCAACTTACTCGGAGAATTCCTTAAACTCTATTCCATGGAAGTGGTTTTTCTCCATCCTGCTGCTTGAAAGAGACTTGATGGGAACTCATTTTCAAAGGAAGGAGTTGTAGAAGCAGTAATTATTTGCCTGGCCGACATGACCACAAGTTGCTTCGAAGTTCTCATTTAAAAATGACAATATTACCCGTATACTCACCACATAGAAAGATCCTAGCAAGAGGAGTAACACAATGCCGACTGCTGACGCTTCTAAGGGCAGCACTTGAGGAGGCTTCTTCTTTTGCGTCTTCTTCTCAACGCTTTTCTCGATTATTTCACGCTCCTTCTTTCGGTTTCTTTTCACAGGCCTTTCTCTCAAAGTCTCCTTTGCTTTCTCACTTGTGCTCTTTTCCTTCGTAGAGTCTGCCGCAGCAGTTACGCTAGACACCTGAGGGGTACTAGAAGCTGCTTGGTCAACCTACACATTATATGACATTTCAAAACTTTATTTCAAAACTCTTTATTTCAAAACTTCAAAACTCTATTTAGCAAATAATCAAGGAGTAAACTGTAAGTTTCAATGCGACCTGACCATTTGTAATCACTGGCAAGCTGTAGCTAATATTGGCTTGTCATATTATCATGCAAAGACCCCGTGCCCTCTCTGGGCTAGACGCTAGAAGCAGAGGACTTTAAAATTTAGTCGGCACTAGAACAAAAATAAGACGTTCAGTAAAGTAGGGAAGGAAGGTGAACTGACAACGCTCATGTGTGAAATATTTGTAAAAGATAGACATAAAAAACGACCAGTCCAAACAGAGAGGCAAGTAGAGATCACTGGGCATAAAAGCATGCAGGACATCACCATCATTTAAACATTCTAATTTAAAAAAGTAGTAGTTATAAGTTAGTCATTCTACTTAACACATGAATTCTCAACGATATGGCCAAGAAGAAAGAATAGATATTGAATGGTCAAAGAAATGCAGATCTTACTGTAACAGCTGGTGGTGCAGGTGGATCAGGTAAATCCAACTGGTATTTGATAGAATGCGTCAAAGTTCCAAATGCTTCCGAAAGTGCAATGCCTGACATTATACAGGCTGCCGGGGCCAAAACAAGCATCAATCGCACCTGCAATAAGGGACCCTCATCAGATTGTCAAAAGATTGAAGGACTCGATCTGCAAACTCTCATCTTCCAAACGTTTGACCATACAAACCAAGATCATTAATTCACAAGCCCAGCCTACTACCACATCTTCAAAACTGCTGATATCATATTTCCGTCCACGGGTAGGAGACATACCATGACACCAGAGAAATATACGGCTGTTACCAGGTACAAGACCACAAAAGTACTTGAATCCGATAGAGGCAAGAAGCACGCCTAGGAAAAAACACACATCATGTTGTTAGCTGATGGTGGCTAAGTACATAAATTTAGATACCAATGACTAGCCACACTATGCAATAAAAGGGATGAATGAATTTGAAGCGCATTTCTGAAAACTAGATAGTATATTGTCAGAGAAACTTACGATAATCCCTGCTGGAACAAGAAAGGCCAAGATGTTGATATCCATGAAATAAGATGGCCAAGTAGGTGGCTGATGTTCACTCACACTGGCGATAATAGGGATATACTTGCTTGCATATGTGCTGCAAAATATATATGAAACCAAGTTGGTGATCACAGAGGCATATCTTCAGCATTTGCAACTAACTTCTTTAATTGGAATAATTATTTTATTAAGATTCTTTCATCTCACAATTTATCCAGCCAAAAGCGCTATCCACAAGTGTTTACACTTCAATGTTAGCGATGGAATACTGCAGACAAACAGATACAGACGGCAGAGAAAGTGGATATGTATGGGTGTTAATTATTTCAATGATTGATGAAGTCAAGATACTATTTATTTTACCACGCTGTACACAAGAAAAAAGAGTTGGACATGAAAAGAAGGAATAATGTTTCTAAGCATAATATATACAGAGTTGGTAACTTACGGGTCGAGTAAACTCAAACTACGTCCACTCCAACCCTTTGTTGGACTAGTTGCAACCAAAGCGATCAAAACTCCGATTAATGTCAGCGCACTCACCCTGCGAGAGAATGAGCGAGAAGCTTTTTAGGTAACTATCAGCTGCCCTCAGAAATAACGACCCAGGAGTTAAAATTGGAGCGTCTTTTGCGAAAAGTATAAAGTTCATTGTTGTGCAACGGTAAAATACACTTGATAATGAAATTCAAAGTGATGCTCAGCATACGTTCATGTTTGCTCTAACTCCAGAACAAATTATAATATTCTTTGATAAACCACTCTGAAAAGAATAATCGTACGTGCCAACTGTAAGGACAAAAGCCACCGCCACGCGGAATGCTTTCTGTGTAAGGATGCGCTTGATGTAGTGCACAAGTGCAACCACTTGTATGATCACAAATACCTGTTCACAGATAGGAGCATCACGGAGTCAGATTCCTTGGGGAAAAAAGGTGCAGACATCAACATAGCGTAGCATCGAATAGAATACACTAAGAGAAACTAGAATCTTCGCCTGAACAATCCAGAAGGGACCATATAATTACTGCATTGCACTTTAATTGCGGAAATGGCCTGCTAGACAAATACATACACAGTGACCTGTACAAAGTCTACGTCAATTGTAAAATGCGCTCTGTTGGTTGAGACACCGTCCAAAGAATGGAGAGGAGTCCATGACTTTTGGGGCCAAAGCACTGCTTTCTAACAAGACAGCGAGAAAACAATACTATGATACACATTGAGCAAAACTACAAGCTAAAAGATAGTGGTGAAGCACCAACCAGGAAAGATGCAAAGTGCTCAGATGTCATCACAGCATTGAAACCCACGACTGGGACGAGAGCTGCCAGCAGAGTTCCCAGAATCACCTACGATACCGAAAAGTTTTTATCGTCAATTCTAGGGCATGCTTGCCGAAAGATGTCCCACGAATTTATCTTATATTACTTTCAAATTTCAAAACGAGAAATCTGATCCCTTGTAGTCGATAATGTTGGCTTACCAGGGGTACATACGCAATGTAAAGACGAGAAGAATAACGTCCAGTAACGATACACAACAACACGTGCATGGGAATGAGATTAATGATGAAAGTATATCCTCCCCAAGAACAAACCTGCATACATACAAAAAATTCCAAAGATCCTTAATGACAATTGTTATACAATTTGATCCAATTTTCATGCTGACTCTGTTTACAGAGAGCTTCTGAACTGTGATTGATTCTCTTTACATTATTGTAGTCTAGGTTTTATTGGGCTTGCGAAATCTTGAACTTAAAAATGCATTTAGCAATTCTAAGAAGTACACAATGGCTTGTAAACAGGTGGGCTCTCTAGAAAAAGTATGATTGATGCAACTCTTCTTGTATAGGTAAAAATGTGTATTTTCACACATACCATGTAGAAATAAGCAAGCGCATTCAAAGTGGCATAGAAGAGCGATCCTGTATTCAAAGTCTGCACCACAACCAAATTTCATGATACGATCACCTAACTCTTCAGTCGGAGAAAACATTTGAAATTTTCATTACATAGAAGTACGACATGTTGTAATTTGTGTCCGAGTCAAAATAATCAACTCAGAACAATGAACAGATCGCTGACAGCAACCAAGATTGCTAATCTGCACTCTGATCTCAAAGAGCGGGTCTCATGAAGATATATCCAAGACTTTTCAGATCATAATCGAGGAGGAAGAAGACTGTAGACAATATTCCAACCTTCAAATAGAGGTAGAAGGTGAAGACGAGAGCAAAAATAGCAACACCCTCGTTGTCATAACTTCCAGCTACGGATCTCGATATATATGAAGGTACCTGGATAAGCAAGATAGAGAATCGTAAATCTTTACGTTATGTACACATAGTAAATTAACTTAACTCAAACTTAAATTTCACCTGGCTGTGTATATTATTTGTTGTATACGAACAGAAGAAAAAACTCTTCATAAACAGTGTTGTCGTGAAAAATGTTCCACGACAAAGTTAAACGATCTGCACTCTAGCGATACACATCTGCCACCCTGTTTCACCCACTCCTAATCATTATTTCTTGGCCTCTCGTATTATGAGAAAACTTATGACTCTAGAGGAGACACAAGTTCATATACTCGTCATCAAAGTAGAAAAAAAAAGTTAAATTAAACGTTAACTCACCATAGCAATCAACGCTGCGGCAGTAAGACCAGCACCGACTCCTTTTACTTCCTGTAAAAGCAAATTGGTAGATTAAATCTTGACATCAGCCTAACAGAAGCACATAACCCTGGAGAAAGGCTAACGATGGCAATGTTTACTTAGGTGTTTGTCATGCAGAGTTCCAGGCATAAATCAATCTAATCTAGTTAAAACAAAAGATATTCTTTTTCAGTGCTTACAGGGCCTGAAACTAACTCTACTCCTAGAGCACACTAATCAGAACTAAGGAGCTGATAAGTGGATTATCTTCGGAAAAATTCTAAGAAATATCTGAATAAGGGGTTTTCTAACAGGGAGACGCAAAAGCACACGAACCTTCGTCAAGGCATACGTGGACCAAGCAGCAAATGCAGAGAATACCGGGGCAGTAAAGACACAGACAGTTTCCACCGACAAAGGAATGTTCAAAGCGTTTGCAACCCTACACAGTTCAGTCATCAATGTAGAATAAACACCACATTCTGATATCAATTTGCTACCGCGAATCATACACGTACGATACACATACATTTAAAACTCAGCCACTGCAAATTGAAACTTTATAACCAAGTATAATTCATAGGAAGAAGAAACTGACAAAGCTGGTTCCTGATTCTTACCACCACATTGTGCCCGCAGTCAAAGTGAGACCTGGATAAACTGTGCCCCCAATTACTCGACCCAGTGGGTACCTAAAAAATGATGATACGAGTTGCGTTGGAATCGACACTCAGTACGTGATTCAGAATGAGCAAACTCATACACTAGATGACGACTAGTTTGATTTAAGTCTTCGTGATTTTCTCCATTTCTGACACTCTTTTTAGCAACATTATACTATTTTCTTGTATCTTGAAGTCGCCGTTGTGAACCTAAGACTTGAAAAGCCACTATTGGCGATGCTCATAAATAGCTACCAGGTGCTCATCTTCCATTTTGTTGAGAACCACACTCCTTTCAGCAGTTCATACTCAAAACTTTCAATTTACACACTAAGTCAGCACTTAAAATGAATTGAAATGCACGTAGGAGGCAGAGTGCTTACCAGGTCCTGTCATCGAACCAATTCCAGAATTCGTATATTCCAGCTTTCGACAGGTACTGAAAGATCACACATTTGTAACAGAAAAAGTCAAATAAGTGTCAATAATTATACTTCCGTTTCCCCTTATTTCATCTTGTTGTTTCTGGCCAACTACGCTCAGAGTAAAAGGAGTGCGAAAACAAGGAAGTGATCAAGCCACTGTGTTGCTTGGACTCAGATATGGACTGAAGATGGCCGCATTGAGCCTACCTGAGTAACTCGATAGTTGAAGTAGGGGTCAAATTCGTGGATAACACTTTCATATTTGATCACCTGCGGATGGTCAGCTCGTTTTAATTCAATGTATATGCATGTATTTTTATTCAATAATTACACCCATCACGCTAAGTATCTTGAAAGCAAGTCAATGTTTTTCTTATGACAAAATTAAGTAATCACGACAGTGAGCAAACGGACCGAGATAAATATCCCAGGAACAAGATATACGTGATTCTCACTTTTCAAGATGTAATATGAAGTAAATACAAATGAACTAAATCTCCCCACCTCTACAACTAGCGAAAATAAATAAAAAAACCAGTTTGAACTGCCAAGTCCAAACTTCGCTCTATGCATCGTGGCACTAGAGGAATATGGAGTTGCTAAGAGCAACGGTATGGTAAGTTTCACAGATTTCAAATCAGCACTGCTCCAGGCCTATTCATTTCAACACCGTCATCCATTCCAGGCACAAATGTGATTTGATTCTTGACTCCGAACACGCATACGCAGTGGCCGCGGTAGTCACTTCGGGTGAGAACATATTGGGAAACACTAAGAGCTGATAAGAGAAGAAAACTAAAATCACACGTAAAACCATCTGTAACGCATTTTAATTGGCCCCGATTCGTCTCGATGGCATAACTTGGAAATGAGTCAGACAGCCGCATCAGTACGATTATATTCGGTAGAATAGGGCCACGGCATAAAACAACAAAACTTCTGCACTCAAAACATTAAAATCCACAAGTTTCGAAACAAGAGAAAGCTTACCGAAAACAGGCGAATGGAGAACGCCAAGATTCCGATCAACAGCAACGTCGCGAAGGAAAGAATAGCAGCGAAAGCACCTCCTCTGCCCTTAGAGGGGGAGGCCCTTTCAGCGGCCGTCATCGTTCACAAAACCAGCTGAAAAAAATTTGGCAAAAGCAGAAACAAGCATGCGCCGATCCGCCTGATTCTCACCCAGATCGCATCAATAAAAGTTCCTGTCCGCCATGGATCGATCCATCGATCCCTGATCGAAGTGGTCGGAGCGGTGCTCCGTCTCGCTTCCAGAGCTATCAAGAAGCTGGACACGAGGACTGTGTAAGCGAAAGTCGGAGGAGGAGGGCAGCGCCGGACCGCTCGATATAAGAACAACCCCATACAGTGGAGCCTGTCCAGTGGCACCCCATGGCCGCTTCAAACTTATGTTCCTGTCTGCGTTTGAATCTTTCCCAGCAAATGGAACCTCTGCCTGCGACTTTCGGCTCCCCTAGACCTAATCACAAAGCAGTCCTGGGACTGGGTTCCAATTCTTCCCAGTGGTTACATGTCGCATGGTTGTTCTCTCCCATCGCTTCTGTTGATTCACTGTGTCGCCGACTTCGCTTCGTCCTGTACATCGATGAATTATAGAGAATTATATTCATGTTCTTCAAAGCTTCCCTTGTTTTCCTTACTGTGTCTCCCTCGTCGTTTCGTACGTTGACGAACTACGATCACGTTCTTCAAGGTTGCCCATGTTTATTTTCCTGCGCCCCCCTCATCGTTTTCATAAATGGGCGAACTATGATCACGTTCTGCAAAGTTTCCCATGTTTGGCAAACATCACGAAGTTTAGAGAGTTCTTGCACCATTCGAGGGCTTGAGACCCACGCACCCAGACTGCCGTCATTGCCTGCCGCACGTGATCTTAATCATTCCCTCATGTCTAACCATATACTCTATGGCTAGAGTACACGGGTGAATGAGACTTGACGAGTACATATGCAAGAGATTGTAACATATGGCCAAAATACTAGTTGTCTATTAGTATGACATTCACAAACTACACGTGATCCTCGTTTTCTACGAGGCAAACTTCACATGGATAGAGCGTTCGCCTAACTTGCCAATTTAAACATATACCGCTCCAAAACATAATCATGTCGGTGGTAGTTCATTTTACACATAACCATATAGTTTCATAAATTGATTACCAATCCACTTGACATGGTGCAAGGATAATGTTTCTCCAATAGGATAAGTCTACAACATTTTAATTTATGTATTACTTTAGCTTCATTTTTTGTGTAGCTATAGCAACAAGAATGTACATGCCTATAAATTCAGACTATAGATTAAGTTCCATGGAGTGAATTTTTTTTTCTTTTCTTCTTGATCAACATTTTTTAACTAAGTTATGAAAGTCATTTTGCAAGGCAGATCCTATCAAAATCTTGTTGGCATAAGGTGATACTTTTTGTTAACATATCTAGACTACGAAAGTATGTTACCCTGTTATGCAATTGTTATTTGATGTATTTTTTATTGGCAGGATTATGATACTTAGATGATGACAAAATGTAAATAATCACATTTTGTCATGATACTGAAACATAGTTCATGACAAGTTAAAAAAATTGTTTTCTAAAAATTAAGAAACTCCAAAATGACCTGGAGATGAAAAAAAGTCAATTAAAATGGCACTACAAACAAATTCGATAAAAATAAAAATGCTATAGGTTGTCTTAATATCATAGATTGGTTTTCAATATATGCAGTATATCATTTGCAAATGTTGTGTAAAGTTTTTGTAACTTGATTACTCATATTCAATGAACACATTTGTGATATGTTTGTAACACATTTATTGATCAGCACATTTGTAAAGTTCTTTCATTTATTTGGAACCATGCATTGATGTCATACATGGCTCTCAAGATTTCAAATGAAGAGTATTATTTTGAAGAAAACTTTCTATATTTGTGCAACAAAAAATAAAAATGCTCACTCAAATATCTAGAACTTCTCTAGTTCTTCCGCCAAGTATAGACATTATAATTAAATATAGTTATAATTTGATAAACTTAGTTATAACTAGCTAGAATTAGTAATAACTAAGCTCACCATGATTAACTTCTTGGCTACTTCTAGTTTTATTTCACATATACATCATCCAATCTTAGAGTGCACAAACCAGTAGGTCGGGTGCTATGTCGATCCATCGTAGTTGCATATTTGCAATTCATAACATGTGAAGATCAAATCATATATACTCCAAAGTACATCGAGAACAAATCCATCGTCCAATCAAAACAACATCGATAGATGAAGTCATACGCAACATGTGTCATTCCCTAGAACACCTATCACACACCAACATACAAGTTACTTGATCAACTGACTCAACTAGCATGCACCTTATGCTAGTACGCACTATTATCAAACTTGAATCCATAGTATCATCCACGTTTGGAAGTTGACATGGCGCCTAATTGCGCATATGATACTTCCAAACAACATCGTCACGATTCTCTAACATAAAAACTCCAGAAAATAACACCTCTTGCATTCGCAAGATAGTGCGTCCCGATGTCACATCCAATGTTGTCGGTGTAGTCCGCTATAGATAGATGTAGTACTCCACATGAAATCTACGAATCAATGGTCAATAACCTACTTCTCGGATGGATTCATAGATTTGTAGGTTCGTAAAGTAAAACTAGAAACTACAAAGTACTTACTTGAAGATTTGTAGATTCCATGTGGATGGGCAGGCTGGTGATCAAGTCCAACCGCTATATCGATAGCACACAGGAGTAAAACTACTACGAAAACCAACGTCAATCTCTCCACGAGCGCGTATCAAGAAGCAAGACTGAAGAGTATCCAAACACAATCAAATAGCTAACAACGACTTTCTAATCTAAATGAAACACAACACAAAACAACACTACACACATGGGAGATCGCATAGTGATTCCAATTTGATCTACATCGTTCTCTTTCATCTTCCGCCTCCAGCGCCTACAATGTCATCTCTTCCAACAAGTTGCAAAAAGAAATGTTTTTTTTTTCGTTGGGATCACAGTCCACTTCAACAAACACACTAAACACCGAAAGCTCAATATATTATTGACCACGTCATATATATATACAATGCTTTCAAAACCTCAAGCTTATAGTGGATGAGAAGTATGCAAACTCTCGATATCTTCAATACCACTACTCTAAACCTTAAACGTATTTGCTATCAATCTTTGCTATGACTAAAGAAAAACTTCTCAAGTACATAATTTCTTCCTACATATGGTCTTGAACAAATTGAACATTTCTCAAATGATCCGCGACATCCTTGAAAAGGATTAGTATCTCATCTTCACATATTTTGGAATGTGAATCAAATTTTTCCATCAATTTTTCTATTGTCAATTCTTCATTCTATCTAATTCCATGTCCACTGTAGCAGAATTTTTGTCTTCTAACACAACATTGTTCACTTGATTCTCTTGTATTTGGGGCTGCAAAGTCAACTCATGCTCCAGATGTTCAAGTTCTTTGCTTCTGGATACCTCTTGTGCATCAATGTTGCTCATGTTATCTTCAAGCGGCATATTCTCTTCACAACTCAAAATTTCACGGTGTACACAGGTTGTTTTACAAGCTATCTGTAACATTAGGGTTTAGAGAGAAGTTCATTCGAAGATGGAAACATAAACTATGAAGATGAGAGATACCAACAATGGTTTTCCTTTCCCTTGTATAACTCGCATCAACAAGTACAAAGAGATCTTAACCCCACCATCCATCCCACTACTAGTGGGTGGATGACGTGTCAAATAACCATAACAAGCACACGGATTGTTGACATGGCGCTTCCAACTAAAACACTAACTAACACACTCAATACTTACCTAACAAGCACACAGATGACTGACGTGGCGCTGTTAACTAACACTCCTACCCTCTATCTATCAAGCGCACGGATCGCTAACGTGACAGCTATGACTAATGCACGCTAACGTATCTATATCAACATTTATACTAACCTCTACTTTAGTCCTAACTAACTAAAGATGATTATAGTATCTGTAAACTAGATCACTGAAGTGAAACTAAAAACAGTTTAACTATAAAACTATTAGAAAGTTTTAATAGTTTTAAATGACTGTTTATGAACAAGTTCACTTTAACTAGTGCATTTGAAACTTCAATAACTCGGAAGTAGCACAATTTAAGAGACTTCCTACTGTAAACTATCACTGTTGTATTTTACCACTTTAAAATTGATAAGATAAAACTGAAGGGAATTTTAAGACGTGTATAAAATCAACCTCTTGAAAGATCTTCAACTCTACAAATTTCAACTGTACTTTTCTATGTAGCATATTTTTCCACTTTCATAGATATTTGATTACTAAATTGAAGAGATGATATTAAATATTTGCTCGTTGACTTCAGGATGCTAAGTTAATGTACCAATCTTTCTAGCTACAAGATCTTTGAAGATAGTCTACAGGCTTCACCAACATGTACAGAAGTATATGGAACTTGATTTCCACTCAACTCTTCACTCACTACATTCGCATCTAAAAGTTTGTGATCTGCATTCACATTCAATGCATTTCAATCTTACAATAACTCAAGCAAAGAGATGATTTACTCTTGTGCCAAAGGCTTCAATAACCAAGTACGTTCTATCAAGAAGCCAATTTTGGAAATTGTGGACCAAGTGGCACTCCCTTGGGAACGTGACATTTTTTCAATGCATGCAATTTTCCTTAATTCAAATTCCACCATCCATTTTGGACAACCTAATCCCACCGAAATGCTTACCGGATGTAAGACTCCATGAAGCTTCTTTACTTCTCCAGTAAAATCACAATCAAAATTTTGATAGGCAAATTACTCATAAATAATAAATTCTAGCTCCGATCCACAATCTCGTTGTAGTACATGAACAAAATTGTCAAATCCAAACTTGATCTGAGCTCGGAAGAAAATATCTTTATTCCCGAGATTACACTTGTAGATCACAAAAAGCTTCACTTTATTCAGACGGATCAAACGATTTCCAAATCACTGGAAACAGTATCCTTGATTCTTTGAATCTGCTCCATGTGATAAAGCTCTTAAGAAAGTGATCTCTTTATCACTCTAATCGAGCTTGCCAATGAAACCAAATTCAAAATGCTCTTCAACTATCTCCCAAAATAATTTAATGAGTTGATGTGACACCATCTGTGACAAGACATTGCTAGAGAGCTCAGAGTGTTGTACCTGTCCAAATTTCACGCTATTGTCTAGCAAATTTCCCTACTTCCGAAGAAAATTCTGCAGACATTTCCTCAGCCCTTCATCTAGTAGTCAAAACCCTTTCGACTCAAGGAAGTCCAAAGTGCTGAACTTGAACAAAAGACTTTGGAAGTTGACAAATTTTTACTTATAAATCGTAGAAAGTTAGTAGCTCCTAGTCCATGATATCTGCAATGAATCTGTTCACACTAAAACTTTGACCGTGCTTGCCAAGTGTTCCCTTCCTCGTTCTACCGTGAGCACAAAAGCTTTGAAGTCGTTGACAACAACGGCTCCGACCAACTCTGCTTATACTGACCAAGATTTCCAATCTACTTCGCACAAAAGGCATGGATATCACTACTTCTCTCGAATTTCACCTCCTCAGACCTTAGGAACTGCCTTGCGATTCGAACATGGCACTAACACCGATGTTTAAAACTCCACTTCCGATGTGTGCTCAACGATCGAGTCTCATTCTCAGACCAGAACGTTCCAAGATGTCATCACCAATTTCCGTGAACATAGTCTCCCGTATGTTCTTCAAGGGTGTATGTCTGCAGAATTGGCATAAGTAGTAGTGGCGCCGGTATAAATAATGTGGTGAAACACCTGTCAAAGCTCCCCGCGTCCACATCATCACCTGCAGTGGACAAATTTCCACATGGTGAACTATCTTACAGAAAAAAGACAATACATGAACT